ATTTCTAAATCCAAAACCAAAATTCCAATACGAATCAAGACTCAAAACTCAAAACTCAAAATGTTAAAAGGCTAGATTTTAGCCTTTTAACATTAATAATAAGAGAAAAGGAAGGACTAGGAAATAAATAGTCCTTGTAATTTTTCAACGTAATTGACCCATTAATGCTCCGGCTGAAGGCTAGCTATAAATGTTCTGATCTTTCTTTATGACTTACCAATCAAAGTTGAGTAAATTATAAATTAGTCCTTTTATTGTTTAGAAGTGAATTAACTAGTTCTTTTTGTTTTTAAAACTAATTATTTAATTTATCAATTAGTGTTGACCATGCTTGATATAATATTACTATATTTTAAAAATGTCATATTTTCTCACCAATCATTCTATATTTTTTTACTATTTTTTTATGTTTGTATTTCTTAAAAAAAAAATCAGTATAAATTAAAAATAATGAAAATGACTTAGTTACAAAAAAATTTAAAAAATATAGAATCTAAATAATTATTTTTGAAATAAAAGAGACTAATTATTTTATTTTTTAATACTAGAAGAACTAATTTATAATTAATCAATTAGTTCTTTTACTAATGTCGATCATGATTAATTTAATATTATTTTATTTAAAAATATCTTATTTTCTCATCAATTTTTCAATTTTTTAAATTATTTTTTCTTTATACATTTCCAAAAAAAAATTAAATTACAAATAAAGTTAACAAATAAGACTAATTAATTATTTCTCAAGACTATAAGGACTATTTCATTTGTTTTGAAAAACTAGAGAGACTAATTTATAATTTGGGCTAAAAAAGCAGGTTTTAGAATTTTGGAGCTTAGGCCTGGGTTGGGCTACACTGTAGACACGGGTTGGCTTGCTGGGTAGTTTTCATGTTTTCATCTTACGCTGGCCCTATTTTATGACTTTTTCTCATTATTTATTTGTCAGATTCCAAGACCCTTTCATGTCAACATCATATTGCAAAATAACTATGAACCAAAACTAAATCGACTGTCTATTAAACTAAATCAATACAGATTTAGTATTATTGAAAAATAATTATTACGATTGATTATTCGTGTAAATGAAAATTTAACGTTAGTTTTGACCAAAACAAAACAACCTTCCTAACAGTAGAACATATTTTTTGATAAATTTTCTTATTTATGGCAATAATTTCCATATGCATAATATATAAGTAATGCAACTAAGAATCTCATGAAGAGTTCGATCCTGGCTTAGGATGAACATTGACGGCATGCTTAACACATGTAAGTCGGACGGGAAATGGTGTTTCTAGTGACGGACGGGTGAGTAACGCATAAGAACCTTCTCTTGGGAGGGGAACAACAGCTGAAAACGGCTGCTAATACCCCGTAGGTCGAGGAGCAAAAGGAGGAATCTGCCCGAGGAGGAGCTCGAGTCCGATTAGCTAGTTGGTGAGGCAATAGCTTACCAAGACGATGATCGGTAGGCTGGTCCGAAAGGATGATCGACCACACTCGGAATTGAGACACGGCCCGGACTTATACGGGAGGCGACAGTGGCGAATTTGTCTGTTGAATTAGGGTTTCTTCTTTTTTATACGGTAAGAAATTTAACTGCGAGTGCAACAGATTGAAAATAACTTTGTAATAAATAACAAACCAACCAAAAAAGTGCAAATAATAAATAAATAAATAAACCCTAAAAGACCAAAACAGCTTAAAATAATATTTAATTTCTAAGGCTCAAGCCCAAATTCCGACATGAATAAAAAGTCAAAAATCAAAATGTTAAAAGGCTAGATTTTAGCCTTTTGGCATTCAAAGATTCAAAACAAGGGAAAAGGAAGGACTAAGAAATAAATAGTCCTTATAATTTTTCAATGCAACTGACCCTTTTAATTCCGTGTGGTTGAAAGCTACCTATAAATCTTCTGATCTTTCTTTATGACTAACCCATCAAAGTTAAATAAATTGTAAATTAGTCCTTTTCTTTTTTAAAAAAAATGAATTAATTAGTCCTTTTTCCTTTCAAAAACTAATTATTTAGCCTATTGGCTAATGTCAACCATACTTAATTCAATATTATTTTATTTTATTTAAAAATGGTATCTTTCATCACCAATTATTTCATTTTTTTTTACTTCTTTTTTCTTTTCTATTTTTAAAAAATCAAAATAAATTTAAAAAGAAAAAAAATGATTAAGTTACAAAAAAAAAAAAAATTAGTTTGTTAAATAAAAATGACTAATAATTTTTTTTAAACTAAAAAGATTAATTTATAACCAACTCATCAAAGTTAAAAGCTCAATATAAGAGTTCACTCATTCATTGAAAGTACTACAGTGAAATTATACATATAATAACTTCACTATATGTAATTATGTTTTTCATCAATAATAAATTATACATTAATCTTTTTATTTTTACAAACCATATTAAATAATCCATTTTGTTTGAAAAACTAATCAATTAGCACCTTTATTACCTTGATTATGATTAATTTAGTATTATTTCATTTAAAAAATACCTTATTTTCTAATCGATTCATATTCTTTTACTTTATTTTTCTCCTCTTCTATTTCATAAAACAAAGAAATAAATAATTGAAAAACAACAAAAGAGATTAAATTATAAATAGATTTAAACAATAGGGACTAATCAATCCTTTTTCAAAAACTAAAAAAACTATTTAATTCATTTTGAAAATAGAGGGACTAATTTATAATTTACTCATGTTTTAGTCTTAAAAAAAAAAAAAAAAAAAACAGGTTTTGGAATTTTGGAGCTTAGGCTTGGGCTGGGCTACACTGTATACTTGGGTTGGCTAAATCATTCATTGGTTCGTTTTCATGTATTCTTTCGATGTTAAGCCTGTTTTAGAACTTTCGTTTTCTTTTTCTTTTTTTACTATTTATTTATCAGATTTTACGACCTTTCTTGCTAACCTTTACACGCAAAATAACGAAATTTTCCTCATTTAACCTCAAGCAATAATTCCCATACGCATATTTTCAGGTTGAATCAGGGTTTCCTCTTTTTAATACAGTAGGAAATTTGGTGTGTGTATGTGTATATATATATATGTTCCTTCAAGCACCAAACCCTAAGAAATAAATATTTAATTTGCAATAGTTGAAGCTTGGGGGAGCTAAGTTTCTTTCTGAGGCAAAGCAGTTTTTTCAATGGCTGATGGCAAGTTCTTAGGCCTCAATTCTGAGGCATTCCTTGCTATAATCTCTATAGCAATAATCCTATCCTCCATTTTTATACCATGGTACAGCAATTTCCAATCAACAGGACAATCTTTAGGGATAATGAAATTCCTTCTCCCATTCATGCTAATGTTTCTACACAAAGTGGGCCACTGGTTATCGCCGATCGTCGAACGCCGCGACAGCAGAGGGCAGGGCAGTTGGTTTGGTATCTTGGTCAAGGGTTGCAGCATGTTGGCTGGAGTTGGTGTTCTAATGCTAATTTATGTTTTTGGAAGCTTACAATCATCCATACATGATAAATACTTCTTATAACCAGCCACATTCTTGTTCTTTACAGGTTTTATTAATCATTTTTTCTTTTGGCTTAAATCATATGTTAGTAATTTATGGAATTTATGACCCAAATCTGTGCATTATCAAGTTTAATCATTTTTTTTTTTTTTGGCTTAAATCATGTGTTAGTAATTTATTAAATTTATCAGCCAAATCTCTGCATTATCAAGTAACCCTAAAAAAATTCTTTACAGGTTTGCAGGGTTTGTTTTTCATGTTATTATTTTGAGAAAACGAGAAAAAAAAAAAGTTTTCCAGAGATAGAATTCTAAATTTAATGAATTAGAAACACTTTTTTTTTACAGCTTCACCGACAATCCCAAGAAAAATTAGTTCTTGGTGATGCACAGCAATGCACTTTAGCCAAAGCATCAATGCAAAGAGATAAGGAGAGAACAGAAGCTTTAATTGAAGTGCTTAAAGAGAAAAGTAGAGAAAAGAGAGAGAAATTGCACAAAAATTAATTACAATTTTCCTTCCTCTAAATGTGCATGAACACAAAAGAATACTTTATTTTATTATATTCCCACAGATTTCTGCCTACTTTCTTTTATTTCAGTGGGGAAGCCCACATGGAATTCTTAATCCTCACATCTCCATAGTCTTCTCCTCCCACCAACCACCACTAGACAGCTTAGCACCACCATATTTGACACACAAATAAGAAATACAAAAAAGAAAAAATCTTGGGCATTTTTAAGGGTATCTGAAACTAAGGACAGTGACCCTTTCCTTCCAATGCAATCATGGAATTTGCGCAAAACAAAAACAGTAAGTACATCATCATCACACTGTTCATCTTTGGTTGCAGGCTTCCCATATGAAAAACTAGAACCCTATTTATAGAGAAGAAATTTCAGACTTTACATGATCTCAGCCAACCTGCATTTAGACATAGAACACTGTAATTAATCAGCATAAACAGTTTCACAGTAAAACTTCAATTTTTAGGCTGTGATTTCCTTTTCCCTTGTGCTGAAAACACAGATGTATTTACTTGACTTGAAAGCAAATTGTTGCCCTTTTCAGGTTTAGTAAAACCTCATGCATTTGGTTCAAACCCAATTGTCAAAAAAGTGAAGTTTCGATACGTTTCTAACAAGTTATCGTGCCTTTTTTTTTTTGTCATTGTCTAGGCTGTTGAAGGATGTAAGCAAGGCACTGGATTCTGCTGGAGGGTTGACCTCAAAAATCACATGCTGTACAGCTTGGAATGAGTCTAGAACATGGAGAAACGAGGATCAATATAAAATGATGTTAATTCCATGGAATAGACCTTTCGACAAGACCTAAACTAATGGTTGCTACGTGATTTTCACTGGTTGTTGTTAGATTGCTGAGATTTGAGATTTGTTAATTTAGTTTAAGAAACCCTAAACAAAGAACAATGACATCAAACTTTACGATCAACGAATTTCACCTTTATCCTTCTTTGAAGTTTTCCTTTCGATACAAGGGAGTCTTTATTTACTGGCATGTGGTGAAATGTGAATCTTGCCCAAATGTCCCGAGCATCCTGCAAGCAACTTCAAGCAACTTCCCTGCCAAATATTATAGACATTAAAGTATTAAACTCCCATAATTAATAATCAAATGAAAGCTACATGCTAACTTGAATCGGTTAGCGAAAGCAACCACTCAACAACAACAACAACAACATAAACTAATTGCCCTAATCAATCAGCATGCATTTTGTTAATTGTTTTCTCATGCATAGTTAACAATACTAAACTCCAAAGAGGCAATTCCATGGCATTTCCATGGGAGATCTGTGAGATTAATTGCAGGTCTTTCTGACAGCTAGAAATGCAACAGTAGAAGCAGGAACAGAAAGATCTGATTTTTGATTGATAAAATACAAGTAGTCAAAGAAACGTGTAGCTACCAACTTAATGCCCTGAAATAAATAATGGAACCTCCAGTTTGCATAATATTGACAGGATACTCCAACTATACTAAAGATGGTCCCATAACTCATGGCTGTATTCATAAAATACAATAAAAAATTCCATAACAAATCATGCCCAAATAAACATTTTTTAAGCAAATGATAATGTATGCAAAGATCATAGACAAAAGTCAGCAAAAACACCCTGTTTTTGTTGGCTTTTGAGAAGGATTCAAGTCGCCGGCATTGCCACAAAAAAAAAAAAAAAAGGTTTTTTATTTCGACCTTGTATTTTTTTTATTGAGACCTTTTACTTTTCAAGATTTTTTACTTTAGATCATAAATTATAACGCCACCAATCAATAATCAACACGTCACCTCTACTCTTTGAAATTTCTTACTTGACAATGCCACGTGTCGATCACTAATTTATGACGTTATAATATATAATCTGAAATAATTAATCTCAAAAAGTAGAGAGTCTCAATCAAACCCCAAAAAAAGTAATCAACATGCCACCTCTAGTCTTTGAAATTTCTTACTTTACAATAACAAATGTGGATCACTAATTTATGGCGTTACAAGAGATAAATAATAAATCTCGAAAAGTAAGAAGTCTCAATTAAATCGAAAAAAAAATAAAGGATCTCAATCAAAAAAATTCTAAAAAAATATGATTCAAATTTAAGGAAAACTGAAAAAAAAAAATATCATTCTGATCATGGTATTGGTAAGAGTTGTTTAGTTAATTTCATTCCCTCTATACACCAGTCTCTCCATTCTAAAACAGTCGGTCGGCAAGCTTGGCCAACTATAGCCCACTTCATAAAAAAAACAAAGACAATTAGTTTCCCTAAATTCTAATGGCATCTTCTTCCCTGTAGGGTCATGGCTACTTCAGCTTGGTTGGCATTCTTTAGGTGAAATAAGGGCAGAAAATGAGAGTAGGTAACAACTTACTTTTCTCATGTTTAATCCCATTCTTACAGAACTATACGCCAGCTTCAGAAGTTGACTTGACAACGTCTTGATAAACAAATCAAGTTACCTAATTGTAAACTGGATGATGATAATATAATAAAATGATCATGGTAGTTGCTAGGGATTGTCCTAAGAGATTAAAAGAGAAGACGGCTCACCTCCCACATTCACAAATCAATAATGCAATTATGTTGTTTTAACACATCCGAGGATATTTTCTCGTAAATTTTTACATTAATCGAGACTATGTAGATTACTTTTTAGGATTACCAAGTTGGATCATATTCACATTAATCGAGATTATGTCTATTGTTTTTTAGGATTAATAACTTCGATGACATCTAATCTTATGCTAGTATCATGTTAAACGGAATGATAAGAGAATAATCCCAAAATTTTAGTCCAATTGCTTGTCATAATGTGGTTAACAACAAAAGCAGAATAAACTCAGAAACAACACAAATTTTATATTTGGAAAATGGAAAAAGAAATGAAATGGACTATCAAAACCTAACCCTACAAGAACTAAAGACCCAACAAAAGCTGCCGGAAAAAGACAGCTATGCCATTCTGACCAACTCTGACCCACCGACACTCACAGTCCCCTATGCTAACACCTCACCCTAAAGCCAAAAATCTCCCCGTCCTGGCAAAACTCACCACCGATACTTTATTGCCAAAGCCGAAATATCGGCCGACAGTAGCACTAACCCCAAAAAGGCCAGGGAAAAAAAACTACAAGATGGTAACAATTCAAGCAAATTCAGAAGAAACCCTTTACCCTCCTGGCGAAACTGACCACCGAAACATTGGACCAGAAACCAAAATATCAGCTCATATCGAAATTAACCCTAGAAAGCGGACAATAACTATAAAAAAAAAACAGTAACTGAGCAAGCAAATTCAACCCAACACTGGGACACGCCTCTAGAAAGAAAAAAGGGGTCTAAGTTCACCACCGAAACATCTAAAGCAAAACCGAAATATCGGCCGAGACAAAATTTTAGCGCAAGAAAAGGAAAAAAACGAACAATGCAAGCCAAGTTCAATGGAACATACCTCTCCTTTGCGGCTTGACAGCAACCTTCTTAACGCTCTTAATTTCCTTTCTGGTCTCCAATTTCTCCTTCTCCTCTAATGGAAACAAAACCCCATCAATCCCTTGAACAGAAATTCTCCCATCTGTGTAAATATCAGGATCGAACAAATAAGCAGAATTTTCAGCATGTCCAAATTTGACAGACCCATCAGCTTCTTCTGCCACAACTTTGTGTGGCAATCTTAATGTATCGTAAGAAATTTTTCCAAATCTTCTAACAGCATTGTACATGCTTTCTTCAGTTTGATACTCAGGTATCACATGGTAGTAGATTATCTGCTCTGGTGCTCCTGGTTCACTCAACTGGTCTGTAGTGAGCTTAGCCATGGCTTCATCATTTGGGGCTAAAACTGTTAGCACATATCCTTCAGATACCAATCTTCCCATTTCAGTTGCCAATGATGTTAAATTCACAAGAATATCTGCCATTTCATTGTATCCTCCATATAAAAGAAGGGTTTCAATGAAATCTTTGACTTGTTTTTCTCCATTGAAATGGTGATGAGGTCCACCTGGGCCAGGAGCTGGAGCTGGGGCTAGAGATGGGCCGGGTGCCATTGCATCATAGACTGGTAGAGCCGGGGGGAACCGGCTTTTGCTGGTGGTGCTGGTTTCTTCAACCTGTGTGTTCTTGGATCAACCTCCGGCGCTCCTTCTGGTTTCACAGCTGAAATTGATTGCAAACTCCTGCGATTGTTGAAATCTTGCTGAACAGATCGTGGGACTAGTAACCTCTCTATCCCATGAATGACTCCATCCGGTCTCTCAACTGCATTCACTCGAATGATTTTCGCCGAATCTATCAATTTCTCGCCGGATTCTTGACCGCTGAGTTTGATTTTGTCGCGGCACAAAGTGCTGTGGTGGTGAAGAGAAGAGTTGTGGCTAAGATTGATTCTGCTGGGGACAATGTGGTAAAGCAAAAGAGTCTGCAGAGACTTCAGATTGCCAGGTTCAAGCAAGAACCGCTTGAATTCAGGATCAAGATCGCGCTCAAGAGCTTCGTTTTTTGGAGCAAAGATTGTGATATTGTGTTTACCAACAGCATCCTCAAGGGTTTGCAAAAGAAGTGCTTTTTCAACAAGTTCAGCCAGTTCTGTATAATGTGAGTCAAGAAGAGCAACAAGAACCGAGTTTGAGTTGATTTGGCCTGAATAAGACCCATTGCCATGGTTTTCTTGCAATGCAGAAGACCCCAGATGGAAAAAAGTAGAGACAAGAAGAAGAAACACGAACAAAATGTTGTTCCAAGAAGGTGGTGCTGCCATGGCCATTGATTGAAGAATAAGAAGAGGGAACAAATTGGGGAAAGATATATAAAAACAGAAACAAACCAAGCTAGAAGCAGCAAAAAGGTTTGGTTTTGTTTGCTTCAAAGGCCAGTCTTTCTTTTCCACTTCTCTTCACTCTCTCTTTCTCATGTTCTCTCTCTTTGGCTGCGGTGTTGTTTTATACATTTGTTTAAGGTACAAAAAAACGATGGGCCAATGACAGAAGACAACGACGCAATGTATAGTTTTTGCTTGGGTTTGGTACTCCCTCTGCTTTGGTCGGGTAAAAAAAGCGTCGGTTGCTGGTTAAAAGACAACGAATTGAGAAGTCTTGAGAGGTTAACACGTGGGAAACAGTCCTTGGTTTCTTTTTCTTTTTTTTTTCAGGTTGCCGGCATCTCACGGTTTTTCCTAGCAAGCAAAAAATTGGAAAATTTGCAAACTTTGTTTAAAGATCATGGTCCACGGACCAACCTTTGGTCCTTGTGGGCTATAGGTTTATAAATAAAAGGATCGTAGGCCATTGCTACAATGCTTACCCTACCCAAAAATCTTCTCTTCTTCTTCTTAATTAGGGTTAATGACTGGATTGGGTAATTCTTTAATATGTTTTTATATATTTAATATAATTAATTTTATTTTTAAATATATGTTGAGTTTCTGATTAATTATTTTAATAAGATTTTTAGGTCAAATTACCAAATTAATCGTATAATTTGTATATGATTGTTTGTTATTTTTAAAATATCATTTGAAATCAAACAAATGAAATGTTCTTATGTACAAATTACATGACTAAATTTCATGATATAATCTGAAAATCTTGTTATAATAATATATTTATGAATAAAATTGATTTAATTAGAAATATAATTATAAATTAAAGAATTATTCTATTATATAGACATACTGAAACATAATTTTTTTTTATTGGAATCTTTTAGCAATACTAGAGGAGATGATAGTATTACTTGTGATATTATGAAATATAATTTATAGGAATTATATGATACATGTTTATGTTTTATTGCATGATGAACATTGATGATGACACTAAATCAATTTTTTTTTTTGGGTCTTTGTAATAAGTGCAATGTTAGACGATAAAAATGTAATAAAAATAGATTTAGACTTTAGTCATCGTTAGTGAGATGGAAGTGTAAGAACATTTATTATACTAGTGGGCAATTATTGCAAGTTATTAAAATAAAAGATAGAAATTCTGAATTGAGAGGAGTGAATATTTTTTTCATGATATAATGATTCTAAACAAAATTATTTTTTTGCGAGATTTTTTATTTCATCATTTTCAGAATTTTTAAAATGCGTCCAAACCTCTATTTTCTTATGTGGGTATAGATAAAAATTATGTTTTTTTTTTTCTTGTTTTCTTGAACAGGATCACCGCCATGTAATTGGTGGGTTTCATGTAGGATTCACTGTAATTATAAAACCCACCAATCAATTGATTGGTATTGGGTAATCTTTAGAAATCATCCCCAAAATTAGATTTAATAATTATAAAATTTTTGCATAAATCTTCACAGTATATTAAAACTTAGTCACAAATTTTTTTTTAAAAAAGAAGAAAAGAATCAATCATTCCTTCTTATTTAAAAAACTAATTACTTAATCCCTTAATCAATATTGATCATATTTAATTTAATATTATTTTATTTTTAAAAATTTCATATTCTCTCGCTAATTATTTTTTATTTTTATTTATTTTTTTATAAAAAAAATAAAGTTACAAAAAAATTTAAAAATATAATGACTAAATAATTATTTTTAAAAAATGGATTAATTAATTTTATAATTTACTCAATCTTCGTGATGCATAGCATCATTTAAGCCGAAAGCCCAACCTTATGGGCTGTAGTATACAATAAAGAAACCATCGCAGGCCCATTCCGATAATATCCCACGTTTTCAGAACCGACGTTTTCGATCAATTCTAACGCTTAAAAAAAAAAAAAAAACAGGGGGGGGGAGGGGGTGTGGGTGTGTGTGTGTGTAAAAGCCTCAGCGGCTCCTGTCTTCAAAGTGACGTTTCTTTTACTTTTTGGCTCCAAAGAGGAAAATGGCATCTTCTCCTTCTCCAACTCTAAAGTCTTCTCCTACTCCTTATCCACTTAAATTCCCCGCTCTGCCCCTCAATTTCAATTTATTCACAAATTCTGCCACTCGTTCTCTGTGCCTCCGCTCCACCCGGCGTCTTTCTCCAATCACCGCCGCACTCTCTGCTGCAGAAACCACAGGAACTACTGGAACCGATTCAGGGAAGAAAAAGCCGTTGCTCGAAGTCAAAGACTTGACGGCAGTGATTGCTGAGTCGAAACAGGAGATTCTTAAAGGTGTTAACATTGTCGTTTATGAAGGGGAGGTTGGTTAATGATTAAAAAAGTAGTTCAATTATTAATAATTGCTGAATTAATTTATAAAAAAAATTCAGTTTGATTAATTATGTGGGTGTTTTATAATTTTTTTAATAGATTCACGCTATTATGGGAAAAAATGGATCTGGTAAGAGTACATTCTCAAAGGTTAGTACTTTATGTTAGTGTTAATCATGATTAGGAGAATTTAAGGATATAAGTTTGATTTTTTGAACTGAAAGTTTTGGTGGTTTTTGGTAATTTCTGGAAGGTACTTGTTGGGCATCCGGATTATGAAGTAACAGGAGGGAGTGTAGTGTTTAAAGGTGAGAACTTGCTTGATATGGAGCCAGAAGAAAGGTCCCTTGCTGGGCTTTTTATGAGTTTTCAGACACCAGTTGAAATTCCTGGTGTTAACAATATCGATTTTCTTAACATGGCTTACAATGCACGAAGACGGAAACTTGGTCTGCCTGAACTTGGACCTATTGAGGTATAATTATGAGATTTTTGTTGCTCCAATTGAATGATTTTTTTAATAGTTTGTTACTTGATATTTTGTTTTGTTATTACAGTTCTATGCTTATTTGTTTCCAAAACTTGAGCTTGTGAACATGAAGAGTGATTTTCTTAATAGAAATGTGAACGAAGGGTTTAGTGGTGGTGAAAGGAAGCGGAATGAAATTTTGCAACTTGCGGTAATTATCAGACTGTCTTAATTTTCTTAAGAGTTTTTGGAGATACAAATTGGAATGTATCCTTGTGTTGTTTGAAATACATTTTTCTTGTGCCTTTTGTATGTTGAAGGTTTTGGGTGCGGACATGGCTATATTAGATGAAATTGATTCTGGGTTGGATATTGATGCCCTCAAAGATGTAGCAAAAGCAGTAAATGGGCTGTTGACTCCAAAGAATTCCGTTTTGATGATTACCCATTATCTACGACTTCTGGAATTCATCGCGCCCACATGCATCCATATCATGGTAAGTCACTTGGAGCATCTTATGTGTCACTGGATAATAGTGTGCTTTGCTTTGGTAAAAAGGTCTATTTTCTGAAGTGGTGCATAGATTCCGATGGATCTTTCAGTTGGATGTTCATAAATTGGTCTGTCATCGTTAGCAATCAGTTTCTATTAGCATTTCAAGGGACAATACAGTGTATATAAATGCCCAGCGAAACTAGATGAAGTCATTTGCTTCTTTTTTCACCTCAGTCCTTGGCTGCTTCCCATGGCAGGGAACCTGATATTCTTTGAAAGATAAGAAAAAACTTCGTAGCTGTACTTAGTGGATTTTTCAGATGAAAGTATTGTGCAAAAGTTCCTTCTTGTGTAATACTGCTTGACTATTTGATTTTTATTTCCATGCTTGAGCTGTTCTTTAATTATGTGATAGAGAAACTAATGTGGTTGTGATCTTAAATTGGTTTTTGGTCTTACCCTGGCTTTCAAAGCATGTGATGAATGTTTTAATATTTTCCTGACTCTCTGAATTGTTTTGCGTCCATGGTCTTTTAGGAGAATGGAAGAATTGTAAAAACAGGCGATATATCCTTAGCGAAGACACTTGAGAAGGAAGGTTACAAAGCAATCTCTGCCTCTTAACTGTAGGCCAATAGGTACTTGCTCTTGCACTCAAACATCTCCTTTTTATTCATTGTATTAGCCAGAAGTAGTGAGAAATGGAGACTAGAACGTTTACTCGTTGGGTTAAGCATGACTAATCATATGAGGAGAAATGGAGACTATACTGTTCTATATTGTTGAGGTGTCAACCTATTTGACACTTAGCATTCTTTTTACCAGGTATATTTCTAGTGCATGCATATACACATGGATTTTAGATAGAGTTCATTAGGGTGAATATTGGGATAGCGCATTTGTAGCTGGGACGTGGGGAACTACAAAATTATATTTGGTACAGGGATATCCTTTATGGTATAAGTAGGAGGCCAGTGCACATATCTGTTTTAGATTTGTCTTTGGTCTCGATTCTTTCTCTGAATTGTGCTGTTTAGATGTGTAGTTGAAAACATCCTTGATCCAAGCAGCTCTCTGCTTTTTTCTGCGTTTAGTCTGAATCTTAATATTTCATCATTTTCTGTTTTATGGACAGCACAGTGGCTATTGCACTGATTTCATCATTTGTGAAGATAGTGAAGTTAGAAAATACAGGATGTTAGGTCAAATGTTGATTACTGTTGGGAGATGCCTCAGGTATGCCACTTAAACATACTGACTAAGATTCTGAATGGTTTCTTTCAGAATTTACTGAAAGAAAAGGGAGTGACAAGAGATATAATAGAAGACGATGAATTTCAACGTCATTAAAAAGAAATAGATTGGAACATTAGTTGAGAACCCCATTGTCATTAACGAGAGATAAGAGTCCACAGGTGTTAATTCAAGTGGTAAAGAGTCAGGTTGAAAGATCCCTTAGTGGCCAAGGCATCAAATTTTCCATGGAAAAGGGGCGAAACAGAAGCTATTTTGAAACAACTTATGAAATAAGTGGAATTAACAAACAGTCTTTGCCCAATGAAACGAAAAATGAAGCAAAATCTTCGAACGATTCAGTATTAGTTAATGAAGCTTAATATTTTATTGCCTTCTCGTTCTTGCAGATCCATTTTTGGCAAGAAGGATTATGATGTAATTCGTCTTACAGAAGAAGCTGCTCTCTGTACAAAATCTGCAGACCCTGTTTTTTTGAATGATAAGTTTTTGGATTCCCTGAGTGAATTTGGCCTTTTGTGTTTCCTGTTGTGCCCTTTTCCTGTCATTTACCTGGCTTCCATTTCTTTGAATGGTTCTCTCTTTTTCATTGGTTCTTCATAATTTTAAAGTCTTGACATTTCTTACAGTTTAAGCCATGTTTAAAAGTCGGCAGACATCCTATCTAGGTTACTCCTGCTTTGTTTGTGCTCCTTGGCATTTATTTATGGCATTGGTTTTATCGTTACAAGACAAGACAATCACAAATTTAGGTTCACTGCATCATCAATGATCACAAATCACAGTGCCTTGTCTGTGTTGTGCTGTAATCTTGAGCCTATTAGCCCAGGCCAACTGGTTTTTCACGTTGGGTTTCGAAGACGTAAAGCTTTGTGGACATCAGCACTATCTTTTTCAGTATAATAGCTAGAAGCTTCGAAAGTAAAGAAGGGACATTTCTCTACAAGAACTGGAACAGGCAAAGACAAGACAGTCATGAGTCTGTCTTGTGCGAATATCATACGTTAAAAGTTTGTTGGGCATAATTTGCCGCAAGATCTGCTAGATAGATTTGGTTCTCAGTAATTGCACCTGTACACCTTAAGGTTAATCTCCATGGATAAATCCTCATGGTTTACCTTTATTATGTTGAGTAAATTACAAATTAGTCCCTCTAGCTCGGAGAAATAAATAAATTATTTTCGTTGTTGATCCCGTTCAATTTAATATTATCTTATTCAAAAAATGCTTTCTTCTATTATTAATCCTTCTTTATTTTTCTACTTATTTTTTTCCTTTTCTATTATTAGAACAAATTGAAAGAGAACGAAAATGATTGAGTTATAGGAAAATTTTAAAAATATAAGGATTAGATATTTAGTTTTTGAAATATGGGGACTAATTAATTGATTTTTCAAAACTGGAGAGATTAATTTATAATTTACTCGTATTATATTTTTTATCATGTGATTGCTTGAAGGCAATTTCTAGCTATGGAAGATTTCACCTTTTTGGGTAACCGAATTGCATAGGTAAACTGAAAATGGGCCGGGCCCATGGATCACCAAGTAAAAGGTCTATAAAGCCACTAGGTCCAGGAAAACAACCCAGCCCAAGGTAGAGCGAGACCTCTGCATTAGGAATTTTCCTCGCGTTTACATCGGACAATGGTAATTAGAGCGTACTTTCCTTGTGCAATCAAAGTCAAAAAAATAAATAAATATTTTTAGTTTTTCTTACAAAATATAATGTAAAGAAATTCAAGAGTATCTCAATTCATACTTACGAGTTGGAAACTCTGAGTAAATTATTTTTTTTAATAATAAATACATTATAAAATTCATTAAATAAAATACAAAATCAAACTCCTTTAATCATGACATGCAATTACACATTCCGCCAATGATCACCTTTCAATTCCTTCACAATCTTTACTAGTAATTTCTCGAAATTTAACATTAAGATACACTAAATATGATAAAAATAAAATCATCATATTGGTAACCTTTTAGTATTAATTATGAAAAAAAATGATATAATTATTTCGATATCTATTTTGAACGTGTTTTTTAAATAACCTAGGTCTTCAAAGAGATAATATTGGTTCCATGTATCTAAAATAATTGATATTATCAGAATGGATACTTAGAATGAATAACATCATTTATTATTATCACAATAGCTATAATAATAAATAGGATAATAATAAAAAAATCAATCTAAATATCAAGCATTTATTTTTTCTTACCCTTGTCTTAGTATATGACTACGTATGTTTTTCTTGTTAGGAATTACGAAATCCCAATATTGTCCCTTTCTCGAAAACCAGGACGGTAAACCCCTCTTCCCCTCTGCCTTTTTCTACACCAATCTTCCTTGCAGAGCGCTCTCTCTCTCTCTCAAATTCTTACTCTACACTTCTCTCCGATTCCTCGATCGGACGGTAACCAATCATTCTCCACTCATGACTCTCATGACCCCTCCTCCGTTAGATGTAATTACTAAATCTCCCACTATCGATCATTTTTATCTCTTATCCTTTGTCACTTCAATTTCGATTTTGAATTAATTAGGGTTTGGTTTTTTTCTATTTTGTTAAATTTAAGTGTTTGATTTTTAATTTTTGTTGCCCGTAGTTAGTTCTCTAGGGTTTCGATTGACAGATCCAAAGCTCAGACATTGACTTTTGTTTTTGTAGCAACAAGAAGACGATGAGATGTTGGTCCCACACACTGAATTTGCTGATGGACCTCAGCCCATGGAAGGTGGTGCACTTAATTTTCTGTCTGGTTCCTTGGAAAAATGATTTTTTTTTTATTGTTTTGTATGCGTTTTACTGAGCTAATGCGACAGTTAAAGGTTGTGTCTTTTTAGGATTAAAGTGTGATTTTTATGCATGATTTGTTTTTTTGTCATGTCTGGATAATTGGGTTTTTGTTTGTGTTCTATGGGATTTTTTTTTTTTTTTTTTGGTTTGTTTAGCGATTACTGATACTACGGTTGTGGTTAATTGTTTGTAGTATCACAAGCTGAAACAGCAACAGCAGTCGATGCACAGTCAGTGGATGATCCCCCATCAGCTAGGTTTACATGGACAATTGATAATTTTTCGAGGCTCAATACTAAGAAGCTATACTCCGATGTTTTTGTTGTTGGAGGCTACAAGTGGTGTGTGGATATTTATCTTTTCTGTTTCTTGGATAAAATGATTTCTTCTTCTTCTTTGTGATGTTTTGTGCCCATTTTTTATTATTGAATGGAAGTTCTGCATGATTGTGGTGGCAGGCGGATACTGATTTTTCCAAAAGGGAACAATGTGGATCATTTATCCATGTATTTAGATGTTGCAGATTCAACGACTCTGCCATACGGGTGGAGTCGATATGCGCAGTTTAGCTTGACTGTTATCAATCAACTTCACCAAAAATACTCAATTCGGAAAGGTATTGTCTCAATACTCATGCACTCGAACTGTTCTTTCTCTTTTCGAATCTCTTTATCAATATCCTGGTGTCAAGGGTATCTTGACTGTTCCACTCAAATTTGATAGGTGCATTCGTGCTTTTATGTTTGTGCGTAATTAAACAATATTATGTTTTCCTTTTCTAAACTGTTCACATCAATGGGACGTAACCTGTTATCAGCATCGTGACAGACAAATCGGTTTGTCCCTAATCATCATATCAGGAATCATTTTGTTTATGTTTTGCTATTAACGTTTTTTGTTTACTTTTCCACTGTGGTTTCTTGTGGATCTACCTCTTGGATCATCGGTGAATTCTATGCGATATCAAATTATTTGTCTATAAATGAGCTGTGCTCGTATCATAGTAGTGTCTGATATTGTTTCCTCCACATGCATGTCTGGTCGTGTATGATGATAAACTTTTAGGGTTTGTTTGGAAAGACACCTGGAAGTCTTGAACATTAGATATGATAGTAACAAATATGGGAGGGCTGCTTACACTGAATTTGTTTTATGTAGGTGATTCAAGCATAATTAATGCAACTACAAATGCTTAATTTAGGATATGGCCAGTATAAAAAGGATTATAATTGTTACTTCCAGGGGTCATTTGGTGTGTTTTAATTAATGCACAGGATAGGGGGCATTGCTTGTTGACATTGACACCATGGCTAATAGCTATGTTATAGGTTTGAATCTTGACCATTTAATGCATAGATGTTCGAAAGTAGGGCTCAAAGATATTAACCTGCCCAGCACCATAATGAACTTCAGTGGGAACGTAACAAGCCATGACCTATTAACTAACATTATTTGTTAGGTAATGTAAGCTTGTCATCAAGTTTTTACTTATGTGGTGTCTACCAATGCCTTGTAAGTACCTGCTTGGATATGTTAAATTTTTGAAATGCTTCAGCAATTTTTTTTTCGGTATCCAAATTTTCTAGGCGTGGTCATCCAAGCTATACTTTTTCTTCATAAATAATAGTGGCAGAGAGTCCAAGACACATATCAAGTAGAAGAAATGTTGTTTGGTGCCTGTAAATACGACCATGGCTTGTGTTGACATTGGAATAGTGATTGATTGGTCAGATGTGCTTAATATGCTGTTCAGAAGAAACATGGTACTTGGTGGTTTCCCTGACATTGGTACAGGATGTAATAGTGCTTAGGTGCAGTACAAATGTAACCTGGTAAATGGAAAAAGGAGATGTACCTTATAACAGCATGAAGAAATCCATTATTGCTTGTTTGTCCCGAAAGAAATGAATATATATGCATATTTCCTAGGATGTAGGCAAACATAATTGAATGTGTGGTCTTGACTGTCTGTTTCTTTGTCAGACACGCAGCACCAATTCAATGCACGTGAGAGTGACTGGGGCTTCACTTCATTTATGCCTCTTGGGGAATTGTATGATCCTGGGAGAGGGTATCTTGTAAATGACACATGCATAGTCGAAGCTGATGTTGCTGTTCGTAGGGTTATTGATTACTGGTCACATGATTCAAAAAGGAGACTGGTTACGTTGGTCTTAAGAACCAAGGAGCTACATGCTACATGAACTCTCTCCTTCAGACGTTGTATCATATTCCTTATTTCAGAAAGGTTAGGTATTCTTTTTTCATAGTTTGAACTATTGAAATTAATAAGGAAGAATTTCTTTAAAAAAAAACTAGTGGAATTATGCACAGGCATCATGATGTGAAATGTTAATTGCAGGCTGTATATCATATGCCAACAACTGAGAATGATATCCCTTCAGGGAGCATTCCTCTGGCTTTGCAGAGTTTGTTTTATAAACTTCAATACAGTGACACAAGTGTAGCAACAAAAGAGTTGACAAAGTCTTTCGGCTGGGATACATATGACTCTTTCATGCAACATGATGTCCAAGAACTTAATAGAGTTCTTTCTGAAAAGCTTGAAGATAAAATGAAGGTATGGGTGTTTTATAAATATTTTTGTTCATTGCTAAGATGTATGGAAAGAATTATTGAAGTCATATTCCTTTTCGTTGAATGGCTCAGGGAACTGTTGTGGAGGGCACTATACAACAGCTATTTGAAGGGCACCATATGAATTATATTGAATGCATCAATGTTGACTATAAGTCGACAAGAAAGGAGTCATTTTATGGTACAGATTTTGGTTACAGCGGATAATAAATTATCCGAGATTCATCTTGTGGACCTCACGGAATTTTATATATATATATATAATTGTAGATCTTCAGCTTGATGTCAAAGGCTGTCGGGATGTTTATGCTTCTTTTGATAAGTATGTGGAGGTGGAACGTCTTGAGGGTGACAATAAATATCATGCTGAACAACATGGATTACAGGTGAGATGCTTTTCAAACTCTGGAACTTAAAGCTTTGGCATGTTTTACTTGTTTGTAAGTGCTTTTAAATGAAAATGCTGCATATTATTTTTTATGCACGTAAAGGCTTGAATAAGCTGTTAGTTGGCATGTATGACTTGTCTGCTTGCGACAAGTGTGTTCATGTTTTTAATCTGTTATCTCCACTTGTTCCTTCCAAAATGGATAAGCAATGGTTTGGCTAGTCCATCTCTTCCTAGATTTTTTTTAACTGCTTTACCAATGCCTCTAAGTTTTTTGCTTGGTTTGCTCTTTGACAAGTGTTTTCTGATATGCTCAACTTGATGTTTTCAGGATGCTAGGAAAGGTGTCCTATTCATTGACTTCCCCCTGTTCTCCAACTTCAACTTAAAAGGTTCGAGTATGATTTTATGCGGGATACAATGGTGAAGGTTAGTAATTGACTTGAATTATATTTCTTTCATGCACTGCACATGGTTTGCTTGTCTTTGTCCATTACTCCATTTGTATTTTCTATTCTTCTGCAAGGGAAATTTTGATTATATGATTTTTAAGACGTAGAACAAGGGGAAGGTTGTTTTATTGTTTGGTGCCCCTTTTATGTGTTTGGCTAGATGATCGTAGAAAGTGCTTCACCTATTTCACTTATTTCTGCAGATAAATGATCGCTATGAGTTCCCTTTGCAACTTGATCTTGATAGAGATAATGGCAAATATTTATCACCTGATGCTGATCGCAGTGTCCGCAATCTCTACACCCTTCACAGGTATCAAATATCCCATTTTATCTGGCTGCATTTATCATTCTATGGCTTGTATGACTAGATGGAAGCTTTACCATGCTGGTATTTTCTTCTTTACAGATAAAATGTATCCATACAATTTGGTTTACGGTATCAATTACTATTTTTCTTTCTTTCTTTTTGTTTCTTTTTGCAGTGTTTTGGTTCACAGCGGTGGCGTGCATGGGGGACACTACTATGCTTATATCAGACCAACTCTCTCAGATCAGTGGTATGCATCATGTTCAGTGGGGCTGGTTTCGGCATTCTATATGCATCCTGCTTTTATTATTTTTTTTTAAAAAATTTATCCAGTCTGATTCTGCTGTCTGAAATGCTTGTGAAAGAAATGAGTCTTAAGAAGCTCCTTTTCCCCCTTTTCCATTCCATCTTCATTTGGTTGAAAATTTCTTGGTGTAACTCTTAGATTGCTTACTTATTTAGTTACTAGTTGGTATATATCCATGTTTTCTTAATATCAACTCCATCTCTTAATATCAACTCCATCGCCCTTTCATCTTACTTGCATGCTTGAAATTGGGTTTTTGTGCATATGCTCAAGTAGCTTCTTTGCCTTGTCCTACTTGAGTTCTACTGATTAGCTTATGCAATAAAATCATATATCTAGGGCTGTTTGATTGTGTCTCTCAACTCACAATTTAGAACTCTTGGCATATAGGTTCAAATTCGATGATGAGCGGGTAACTAAAGAGGATATAAAAAGGGCATTAGAGGAGCAGTATGGTGGTGAGGAAGAGGTAAGATTTTCCATCATGCTTGTTAGTTTTCATTTACTTTCAGTTCATTTGAATAATTTTTGTGTTCCCTTTTTTTATCCAACAGTTACCACAGACAAATCCTGGCTTTAACAACTCTCCCTTCAAGTTTACGAAGTACTCAAATGCTTATATGCTTGTTTATATACGTGAAAGTGACAAGGAAAAAATAATCTGTAATGTGGATGAGAAGGACATTGCAGAGCACCTCAGGGTGAGATGTTGAATGTTATTTCTTTTTGTCTAATGAATCTGTGCTTTCATGTTCTGTTTTACTAACAATGCTTTTGCTGTGCGCTTCAAACATCTCATTTCAGATAAGATTGAAGAAAGAACAGGAAGAAAAAGAGCAAAAGAGAAAGGAAAAAGCTGAGGCCCACTTGTACACTATCATAAAGGTTTCATTTCTCTCTCTCATAAACACACATGCACATGCCTGTAGTTGAGATGCATACAAATTCAATGCTGTTGTTTATTGATGTTCACTGGTATATCATAGGACCTATATTTCTTGCAAAATCAGTTAAGCAGTTATTCTATGCCTTTAGGTTGCACGCGGTGAGGATCTACTTGATCAGATTGGAAAAGATGTATATTTTGATCTCGTGGATCATGACAAAGTTCGTAGTTTTCGTATTCAGAAACAGATAACATTTAACCTTTTCAAGGTACACCATTTTTCTTTGTTAATCTATTATCTGGAAATTTTGGCTTCATTTTCATGTTCACTTCCACTTTTGTTGATGTCTTATCTCTCGATTCTTAATTTTAACGTATTGACTTGCAAACACACGTGAGTGCTCAAACATGCAGACAGTTGCACCAAAGGTGTTATTGTCTGGCATGTTGTTAAATTTTCGAGGATACAAGTGAGTGGTCGAACATGCTGACAGTTGCCCCAAAGGTGCTATCATCTGGAATTTTGTTAAATTTTCAAGGATGTAACAAAACGGTTCATTCTGGGGAGCAGTCACTTCATAAAGCACACCTTTTTCTTGATCTTTCGTCCTATGATCTTGCTTGATGTTGAGTGATAATTGGATAATGGTCTGCCATGAGCGTCAATGCTCAACAGCATGAATATCTACTCTGATACCGTAATGGAGCATCCAACTTAAAAGTTTAAACCAGAACAGCTGCATGTACACTATATGGTCTATATGGGGCCATATACCAAGTTTCAAAGCTGATCAATATTGGACCCTCAGTATTAGTTATTCTTCTTTGAATCTTCTTCTTTCTGACAGTCTTCTTCACTATCACTTTTATGTTACAAAAGGTGCTTGTATCTTACTTTCCGCTGTTTTCTTAGTAACATTCTTACGATGACTGAATGCTTATTGCATATTTTCTTGAACATTTGTATCATTGTTAGTTACATTTATTTGGGTCTTTCTTACTGATGGTATTCTAATTCTTTTTCGCAGGAAGAAGTTGCTAAAGAGTTTGGTGTACCAGTGCAATTTCAACGTTTTTGGCTGTGGGCAAAGCGACAAAATCATACATATCGTCCAAATCGGCCACTGACTCCTCAGGAGGAAGCACAATCTGTAAGTAAAGATTATTCTGAACGTTGCTTGGTCATTGCTAAAGATGTACATGTGCTATTGCATACATCTTGATTATCTGATTTAATTATGCGTTCCTTTGATATGTTCTGTAGAAGTTTATATGCTTCTGATTGGGCCAGACCCATACAAGTTTAAACATGTGCTTATAGTAGTATTAGCTTTAAGGGGCGCTTGTCCCATTTGCTTTCATAATGATTGGAGGCATTGTAGGTTGGACAATTGAGAGAGGTTTCTAATAAGGCAAACAATGCAGAGCTAAAGTTGTTTCTGGAAGTAGAAGTTGGACAGGTTCGTTATATTCCTTATCATATTCCATTGATTCCTTTTTAATGGTTTTTCAAGTGTGTGATGATTATGTTATTTGATCTCTTACTATAACCGATCTCTCTTATAATCAGGATTTGCGACCTGTTCCTCCACCTGAGAAGACTAAAGAGGATATCCTTCTTTTCTTTAAGCTTTATGATCCGTCAAAAGAGGAACTCCGGTATTGCCACTTACACTTGACTGTAGTTAGGAATTACAGCCGATTACAGTTGCTGAACTTCTTTGATGACAGGTATGTTGGGAGGTTGTTTGTAAAGGGTAGCGGCAAGCCGTTGGAGATCGTGACAAAGCTGAATGAAATGGCTGGCTTTGCTCCAGACCAGGAGATTGAACTATATGAGGTTAGTCATCCACATTTAGTTTGAAGTCTTACACTATCCAGTTTGTAACATCTGTTTAAGGCATCTGATATTTAGTTTCAGCAAATATCTTACCATCTTGTTTTATATTCAGGAAATAAAATTCGAACCTAATGTCATGTGCGAACACATCGACAAGAGGCTCACTTTTCGTTCTAGTCAGGTGCATTAAATCAATTTTTAAATGCCAAGCTCTTATGAATAATTTCGTCTTTAGCAAATTACTTTATGTCTTGAACTGGTTGTGTTTGCAGCTCGAAGATGGAGATATTGTTTGCTTTCAGAAACCCCCTCAAATTGGAAGCGATGAACAATGCCGCTACCCTGATGTGCCTTCATTTCTTGAGTACATGCACAATCGTCAGGTATATCATGATTTGATAAGAGAGAGAATTTTCCATACCGTTTGACAGTACCTTTTGCTGTTCAAAACTTTGATTTCTGTAATACCATGGCTTGTTAGTTTTCATTCTGCTTGCTGGCTGCTTGGCATTTGGTGTAATGGCACATTTTCAAACCACAGTTGTGAGATTTGGCACAGAAACTGACCTGGAAAAGGGGCCGATAACTGGTTTACTGGGCAAGTCTGCAATTGTCCCTTTTTTTTTTTCCCAGTGAAAGGAATGCCAAAAAAAAAAAAAAAAAAGATCTTATCAATTATTCTGCAATATGAAATTGTAAGAATAAACAATAATGGAAATAGTAAAGAAACTTGTTTAAAAAGCATCTGACCACATTCTTATTTTGATCCCTCATTATTTGTCTCTTGCAAGATCTGAAATTGAATAAAAGCCAAAAAATTTACAAGTTTCATTTGGACAATAGGTCCGCTTCAATATATGGAGAACGCATTATTGAAGGCTAGTGGAAGGTCACAAGCTAGAAGAATGAAATTCCAAAACCGTTAACAAGAGCAGTTTCAGGCATTGAAAGCAGCCTTAGCAAAGAATCTGAATGAAGAACACATAACTCGGCATAGAATACCTAACTCGACTAGATGCAGTGATGAGAAATCAGTTGTAGTGCCCATCAAATTCCACTTCTATTGTATAGTATAACATAACAATGGGGAATGGGTTGATGATGAAAGCTAAGTGAGAGAGCACTGATTTATAAGCTATGGAAATTGGCTTGTTTTCAGAACCCAGTTCTCTTTGTGATCTCGTGTTTATTTGTGAAAGAAAAGAATGTCATTAGTTCTATTTTTGGGGTTTTATTTTTTAGTCCATCAAGTTTTATGGTTGACCTGCCAGGTCTTGATTGGGCTTCACTGGGATACCTGGTCTGGGTCATTAAAAACGCTGCCAGATCATTGTCCGGTTGAATGTCTTGCGGCAGTTAAAATAGAAACTAAAATGGGTCCATGGCTTGAGTCTCCAGGTTCCAGATCCAATCTGCTTGACTGGTTTTGACAGCAATGTTTCAAACTATGTTATAATGAGCTGTCATCTTTTAGAAATACTAATACTACCATAGTGTAATTGTGTTCTGCTACATTGGTTTTATTTTTCCTGATGCATAGGTTGTTCGCTTTCGATCTTTGGAGAAATCAAAAGAGGATGAGTTTTGTCTTGAGCTGTAAGTGAATATAATGTGTTATCCTGGAAAGTGACTAATTGGTTGAAGTCTTTATTTTGTGTTTGCTCATACTCTTTCCCTATTTCAGGTCAAAGCTCCACACTTATGATGATGTTGTGGAAAGAGTAGCTCACCATCTTGGCTTGGATGACCCTTCCAAAATTAGGCTTACATCTCATAACTGTTACTCCCAGCAACCTAAACCCCAACCCATCAAGTACCGAGGAGTGGATCATTTGTCTGATATGCTGGTGCACTACAATCAGGTATGCCGTAGAAGTGTAGATCTCTATCGATTATTTCATTTTTGTTCTGATGGCTGAAGGGAATGTATTTGTTCGTTTTGCGTGATAGACATCTGATATTCTATACTATGAAGTATTGGACATCCCTCTTCCAGAACTTCAAGGCCTCAAAACATTAAAGGTTGCATTTCATCATGCTACTAAGGATGAGGTTGGTGCAGATGATAAAATTTTAGTTTTGTTAAAGCAAATACTATGCATGTTCAAAGTTTTGTGCTTCATGGAATGTCGTATGCTCTCAGGTGGTGATTCATACCATCAGATTGCCAAAACAGAGCACTGTAGGTGATGTCATCAATGACCTTAAGACAAAGGTAAATGGTCACAACTCTTTCTTGATAATGAAGGTTTTTAGTCCGCCTCTTATTTATACCCTTTTCGTATGATTTATTTCATAATTCATGTGGAAGTTGCACTAACTAATGTGAATACCAATTACATCCTCAATTTGTTCTTTCCCTCCTTGTGCCCTTTCTTTTTGGGACAAAGGAAGTCACCATATGACTTATTTTGGAATAGGTGGAGCTGTCTCATCCCAATGCTGAACTTAGATTGCTTGAGGTTTTCTATCACAAGATCTACAAGGTATCATATGTTTTTTGCAATGGTTGGTTGCTTTGAAAAATATCAGCTGTAAGGATTAGTTGTCTGTCTTCTCAAACAAGAGTCCTATGATTTGTTTGTTTACTTGAAAATACGCAAACTCGATTTTAAATGGATGAAGTGTTGTAAATCTTTAATTGTTGGCTAATATTTTGGTGATAGAATTTTGTGGATTTGTTTACATTAATCGTTGGTTAATGTTATTGCAAACTCATTCCCTTTATATCAGAGTTGAATTACTTGAGTTAGAGTGCATGCATCACATGCTCATATATACAAATTAGAATATGTTTTTACGTTTGTCATGGGCGGAAAAATGATGTACATAAAACAAATTAAACGATGAAAAAACCTGCATTAGTTTATGTAAAGTTCAGATATGGTGGTGTCTAATAAAATTTTCATAAAAGAAATGACATTCTGGAAAAGCGTATTGATTTGCACCAAATATTTGATGGATTAATGAGATATGGGGGTCTACATCTAAATGAGCTCGATTGAGTTGAAAACGAGAGTGCCAATTACATGAGCTGTCAGGAATTTGGGTCTGTGGTTGGGGGGTAACTTTTGGGTTGGGGTTAGGTGTTCATGAGTATAATGCTTAAAACTTGAGCAGAAGGTCAGTTTATGGGATGTTAGAACTACGGAGGGTTGCATTTCATAACGTTTAGACCTTAAACTCACTCCTTTAAGTTTATATAGCCAAACACTTGTTTTCTTTAAAATATTGGTAGAGATGTCTTGAAATGTCTCTCCCCAAAAGTATGAATTTGTTCAGATTTATGCAAAGCTAAAAGACCTCCTACCATGTAGATATTCATCAATGGACATGGTCTGTCTTTATATTTGCAGCTCCTAGGAAACAATGAGAGGGAGGGAGGGAGAGAGGAGAGAATTTGAATTGATGATTCTTAATCTGTTATGTCAACTTTTGTATGTTTGCTGTCTTGTTTCTAATTATGCAACTTCATCTTTTCAGATCTTTCCACATAATGAAAAAATTGAGAACATTAATGATCAATACTGGACCCTACGTGCAGAGGAGGTAAGCCTATCTCAGTGTGGATGAAATTCAAATGTAAATATCTGTAAGCTAGATGCATTGAGGATTGGCTGCTGGTACATTGTTGCCGACCATTCAGCTTGACACAGATTGATGAATTGCTTAAGCATCCCCCTCCCCTCTCTCGGCATGGATTAATATGTGCAGCACAACATTACTTGAATCCTTCATTTCTAACTTTTTTCAAATGCTCTAGGCTGGTCCCTAACTTATGAAATGAAACATCTAACTCATATTCCCTAACTTAATTTGTTTTGTTGCTCATGCTGTGATTTTTTTTTTTTTGGGGAATTTTTTTAATGAGCCACAAATTAGATTGTTAGCTAGTTTAGCTGTTTTTGTCTCACAATTGTTCAAGATTGAATTGTTCTTTCATTGTTTTCCTGTTGAACCTTGGAATAGAAAGGTAGAAAAGGGAAAATGATCTCTTGTTTGTCAAATGTGATGGGGAAAAACTTTGGTTAAAGCACAGAATTTGCAACAAATCTGTCATAACTTTTTTCTTTTCTTTTTAAATTTTTAATTCTCATGTTTTGAACTAATTTTCTCCTTGTGTAGTCTCTCTACTTGTTTGCATATTCCTTGACATAATTTGTTGATAGATGTTTCCATTAATGATGCATCTATATTGTAACACATTGCCTCAGATTCCTGAAGAAGAGAAAAACCTTGGTCCTCATGATCGTTTGATTCATGTATATCACTTCATGAAAGATACAACTCAAAACCAAGTGGTAAGTACATTTAAATTTTATTCCAACTGCTTTTTGGTTGGCACTTCCTTCAATTCTCTTCCCCTAAGGCAGTTATTAGTTACTTCCATGTTTTGTTGGTTAAAGTATTTATGCTTCTGCTATGCCCTTTTCAAAGCTTCTTGTGTTTTATATTTAACAGCAGGTTCAGAATTTTGGAGAACCATTTTTCCTGGTTATTCATGAGGGTGAGACTTTATCTGAAGTCAAAATGCGCATCCAGAAAAAATTGCAGGTTCCTGATGAAGAATTTTCGAAGGTATTCTTTTAATGCCTAAGTAATCATTGATGCAGTCTATATGGTAGACCAATTGCATTTTTCACCTTTCATTTCTTTTCCATGGTTGAGACAGTTTTTCACCATGTTTACGTTAACAAGATTAGTTTTTCTGTTGATACAAACTTTTGTATCTTTATTTTTAATATTTTTTTGGTCTTCTTTTGTATGCAGTGGAAATTTGCATTTTTGTCACTAGGTCGTCCCGAGTACCTTCAAGACACAGACATTGTATCCAATCGTTTTCAGGTCTCTCCCCTTATACAAACACACACACATGCACACGCATGCCTGCCATTTTTCATGAGCACTGACATGGCAACTTTTCTGACTGTTTCATACTTATATTTTCTGTTTGGTTCAGAGAAGGGATGTTTATGGTGCTTGGGAACAGTATCTTGGACTGGAGCATTCTGACAATGCTCCTAAAAGGTCATATGCTGCTAATCAGGTATTTACTTGTCTTGTAATTAGAATTATTAAACTTATAGGGAAGGTTATTGGGCGAGCTAAAAAATGATTATTGAAATTATAATGGCAGATAATGGTTTAAGAACCACCAATGAAGTGCGTTGGCATGGACTTGGATGATAATGAATTCTGTTCCTCAAAAGCTTCGTGCTGACCTTGTCTTCCATTTTACAGAATCGTCATACATTTGAGAAGCCAGTAAAAATCTACAATTAGGAAGCAATGAGGAAGTGAAACTAGTGCATCAGTTGAATTTAATACCCTGATTGCATACAAACTGTTGCAAAATGAGCAAAGAAGGAAGAAGCAAGCTTTCAGCCAGAGCCAATTAGTGGTTTTGATAGATGTGTAATTCTTTCATGTAGGGAGAGGGTGGCGAACTTATGGCCTAAGAACTGTGTTCCCTCAATAGTTTTGACCTCTCTCTTGCACTCGGCTTTCGGGTGGAGTAGATGACTTTTGATCCTTAAATCCATTGTAATTTAGTACATAAGATTTTGATGTGGGTTATGTATAGGGGGTATAGTTGTGTGTTCTTAAATTATTTTGTCCGTCCTTTTGCAATCATCCCTTTGTGGATTTCTCTAGATGTATTAGAGAATCACTAGAGCCTTCTTTGAGGCACTTGTGTATAATGTGTTGCTTGTTTACTTGTTCTGAGGGACTTCGCTGGATTTCTGCAAATGAAACACCAATTCCCTTAAAAATCTATAATCCCTTTCCTCCTTAATCTTCCTCCTGTGTTTTTGGTCTCCTTCGAGGTTTACCCTCAGCTATCTCCGGCAATGGAATCAGCCAAATAATGGACTTTGAATAAGATCTTTCTGATCTTGGTTTGTGTAACTACAGGAACATTTGTTCAAGCAATGGAAGCAACAGCAGAAACCTCAACTGGGCCAGCTATTATAGATTATAGTCTTAAATCGCTGATGCAGTTGTAAAATAGTAGAGATTACAATTGCGGATTGCAGTTTATTGCAGAGTGAAGTAATTTATCTGTTACTATACGTCGTTATAGAATCGAAAGCATAATAATGTCTATAAAAATAACAAATATACTGTTATGGTTAGTTAATGTGATTATTTGCCGTTATTTATTATTTTAGTTAATAATTTTTTTTAATTCTTTGCATTTATTATTATTTGTACAATATTAAACTATTAAAAATATTATTATCTTTCTTTTATAATAAACTCAACTATCACTTTATAATATTAAATTATTATTATTATACTTAATTAGTAAAATTATTAAAAAATAAAGTAATTAACTAATGCATTTACGATATTAAAACCTGTTAAATAACTACGGTTTTTTGAAATTATGCAATAGATTATTATATCTTCTGATTGGTCGGTACATTGTTAGGTCAGTAAAGTCAGCCTTTACTGAAACTTTTCTTCTCCGATTGCTTTTAATTGTTATTAAAGCCCATAGAAAGTCTGGACATTATCTGTGCAGCATTTACTACATGGATCTAAACCCACGTCTGCCACCTAATCGCTTGCTTTCTTGTCAGGTTGCACAGATAATGTTCACACACAGGATCTGCCTATTTAATGACAGTTCTTTCATTTGTAGAAGAAGTTGAAAATTTTGAGACAGAAAAAAGAAAAATTAAGAAGCTATAGCAATGGCAACCATGTTGTCTTGGGTTATGTTTCCTACACCACCTTCTTTGATCGTCTCAGTGATGTCTGTGGTTAGTCTCGTTGCAATATCAGGTCTCGGTGTCTCTGAAATCTTAGGAAAGCATTTGCAGTACTCAAAATTCTGGAACTTGAATTCTGAAAAATCTTCACGAAAGCAGATCAAACTCTCCAGCAGAACTGGCATGCTTGTACTCTACGTGCCAGCTTTCCTTTCTGGTGCTGCCTCTTTTGTGCTGTATCCCAATCGTGATCTCAGGCTGTTTTTGGTCAAAGCAACTCTTACCATCCATTTCTTCAAGAGGGTTCTCGAGGTAATAAATATATCTACATCAAAATTTTCATGTTTTTTCAACCCAAAAGTGCTTTCAAGGTTGCTAATTGGTTTTGAACTTGATTCTTAACCTGGTTCTACCATGTTGAACAGGTGCTATTTGTTCACAGATATAGTACTAGTGGGGTAGTTCTGGATTCAGCAATTCTTATAAGCTCAAGCTATTTCTCAGCTACTTCAACCATGATATATGGCCAGTATCTAACCCTAGGGTTTCCAGAGCCACCAGTGGACTTGAAGTATCCTGGGATTTTGCTCTTCTTGTTGGGAATTATTGGCAACTTCTACCACCACCAAATCCTTGCCTCTTTGAGAACAGATGATGACAAAGGATACAAGATTCCAAAGGGTGGTTTATTTGGCAAAGTGATTTGCCCCCATTATCTCTTCGAAGTGTTAGCTTTCGTAGGGATATTTTTCATTTCTCAGACTTTGTATGCCTTTTGCTTCACTTTGGGCACGATTGTTTACTTGATGGGAAGGAGTTATGCTACAAGGAGATGGTACCTTTCCAAATTTGAAGATTTTCCCAAGGATGTCAAGGCTCTAGTTCCGTATGTATTTTGAATTAAAGTTGATTTTTTTTTCTTTTTCTGATAACCTAAAGATTCATATTCTGTAAATTAATCTCTTGATAATAACAAGTCAAAGATTTGTTCTTGTGAGTTTGTAACAGATTGATTGCTTTGCCTGCTTTTTAGAATTGTTTGATTTAATATAATTAACTTGCAAAACACAAGATTTTGGTGACGATATTGCTGATTTTTTTTATTCTAAGGTATTTTCCTACAAGTTTGTAAATTAATTAAGATTAATTTTTTCTTTGAATAATTTTAATGACCATCTTCTATATAGTTTAGTATATTAATTTTTTTAATATATTTTATTAAATATTATTTAAACTTTTTTAAAAATTGAGAGAGGAATTAAATCTTTTTCAACTTTTTGTTAGTCTTTTTCATTGCTAATTCTGGGTCCCGCTAGTTTTTATAAAAAATTAAGAAATGTACCAGCAAGATCATCATCCATTATGAGACGCAATACTACAAAATTGTTTTTTAGTCGCATCTCACAACAGCTTCTTGCATCTTTAACAACATATGTATTCAAAATATTTTCGTAAACCAGTCTCTTACCAGTCAAATAGAATATTTTTATATGTAAATGGTGTGGTTAATTTTTAATCAAATAGAGTGTTTTTATATGAAAATTATAAATCAATCCCTCTGGTGTTTTTTTTTTATTTAGAAATAATAGTTCCTCTAGTTTTAATAACTAATTAATTAGACTTTATATTTTTAAATCTAGCTGTAACTTAATAATTTTTATTTTATTTTTTCAATTTTTTTAATAAATAAGATGGAAAGATGGATGAGAAAATAAGAAATTTTTCAGAACAAAATAATACTAAATTAAATTATCCAATTAATTAGCTTTTGAAACAAGAAGGAATATTCAATTCATTTTTCAAAACTTAAGGGACTAATTTATAATTTACTCAACTAATCATCATTCCTTGTTAAAAAAGTAGTAGATTATTAAAAAAGAAAGAAAGAAAGAAAATTGTGGTCCTAATTCCTAAGTTTAAAGCATAATTACAGGGTTTGATTGAGTTTTGCTTTTTAGAGAATAGGCCTAATAGTAGAAGCCCACAAAGTTAATGCGTCTAGCCCAACTGAAAATCACTCGAGGCCCACAACTTGAAGTCCAAAGGATCACCATAGGCACTTTTGGCCCAACCTTGTACTGGAGATGAGGAGACTTCCCTTTCCAAACTTGAAGATTTCCTTGGGACGTCAAGACAAAGTTCCAAATTACCTTCATTGTTATAAAAATATAGATTTCGGTATTAACTTTTATTTGAACTTTACTAGTGTTTTTGTTGCCAACCAAGAAAATAAAGTTGAACTTGAGGGCTAAGGAATCAGGATTCAGGCCTGTGGATTCAATTTCAGAAACTAAAAACAAGGAGAAGAAGAAGAGAGAAGGATCAAAAAGGGCAAAAATTCCTAACGCTATGAGCCAAATATGGAACTAGACAATACGTAAAAACCGATGGAGCTAGCTTTGGATAAATCAGAAATTTTCCTTATGGTATCACTTCTGCTGGCTATTGTTCTTAAAAATTGGTCACACCTGTATCCTTCACACACATAATTAACATGCCTTTCTGACCTCAAAAATTTGAGAGAGACAAAAGACAGATTGAGAGGTCATGGAATTAGTAATGCCAATGTTGTCTAGGGTTAGTTTTCCACCACCAAATTCTTTGTTTATAACCGTAATGTCTACCTCCAGCCTAACATTTTCAGTCTTGGGGTTATTTGAAGCTTTGGGGAAGAACTTTGACTACTCAAAGTTCTCTAACTTTAATGTTGAGAAGTCTTCAAGCAAGCAGAATAATGCAGTCTCTAGTAGAAAAGGCATGCTTGTAGTTTACATCCCAGCTTTTCTTTCAGCTGTTGCTTTCTTTGGGCTGTTCCCAAATTTGGGTCTCAGGTTTTTACTGGTCAAGTCAGCCCTAACCATGCATTTCTTCAAGAGGATCCTTGAGGTTGGTGCCACTTTGTCACTTTTCTCTACAGCATAAAATCAGACAGATACTCCAAAACCTTAGAATTAATGTCAGATGATTAAAACAACTGATAGACGGACACTTAGTGGTATTTTTAACCTATTTCGCTCAAAAATTAAAGAAATAGAAAGAAAGAACATTTGTTTTCTGCTCATGCTAAGATGAGATCAGATCACATGTGAAAGCAACAACCTTTTTCTTTTACCATGTTGTGCAGGCAACATTTGTTATTTGTCACTAATTTTATGTGATAGGATAATCTGAACGCGTATATGGTGGACCTTTTGATGGATTGTTTAGTGGCAGAATACCACATGGAAATAGAATTGAATGAGCTGAAAAAATGGAATAACTTGAAAAATACCTGGACATGGTCAGCTATGTTAAACGGTTTACTTTTTTTAACACATATCATAAGTATTTGTTTATATCAAATAAGAGTTGAAGTGGGTTTTTTTTTATTCTCGTGGAAGGTGCAATTTTTTTTTTTTTTTAATTATTATTTTGCCTAGTGTTTCATGCAAGGATCGAGTTGACAAGTCATTTTTGATCGATTCGTCAACTATGGTGTTGTCATTCCACACTTATAAATCACAGGATCATCCATTTGTTACAGATAAAGGTTTGAGGGAGACAGGGAAAGAGAGAGGTTATGGTAACTTTAGGGTTCATTTTGTCTAGAGTTGCTTTTCCACCACCAGTAACTAGCTGGTTTGTTGCAGCAATGTCTGTGGCCAGTCTATTATTTTCATTTCTCGGGCTATTTGAAGGTTCAGGAAAGAACTTTCAGTACTCTAAATTCTTTAACTTGAATGTTGAAAAGTCTACAAGCAAGCAAACGAAGCTCTCTAGCAGAACTGGCATGCTTTTAGCTTATACACCAGCTTTGCTTTCTGCTAGTGCTTTCTTTTGGCTGTTACCAAATGTTGGTCTTAGGTTATTGTTCGTCCAGTCAGCTCTTACCTTGCATTTTTTCAAGAGAATCCTCGAGGTATCAATGATCTTTTTCCCATGAAAGTCCCATGAAAGTATCGGATGATTTGTGTAATTTGTCTGCTTAATCAAACTTAATTGATTTTTCTTCATGTCATGCAGGTAATGTTTGTCCACAAATATAGTGGTGGGATGGCTCTTGATTGTGCGATCACTATCACTTTTGGTTATTTCACGACAACCTCAGTCACAATTTATGCACAAACCCTAACACAAGGATTTCCAGAACCACCAGTGGATTTGAAGTACATTGGGATAGTGATATTTTTGTTGGGAATTGTTGGCAACTTCTACCACCACCACCTCCTTGCCTCGTTGAGAGCCAAGAATGACAAAGGATACAAGGTTCCTAGGGGTGGTCTATTTGGTCTAGTTACATGCCCCCATTACTTGTTTGAGATTTTAATCTTCTTAGGGATGTCTTTCATCTCTCAAACATTGTATACTTTTGCCTCTACTGTAAGCACAATATGCTACTTGATGGGGAGGAGCTATGCCACTAGGAGATGGTATCTTACCAAATTTGATGATTTTCCCACGGATGTCAAGGCCATCATTCCTTACGTTTTTTGAATGTTTCAAAAATGTATAGAATTGGAGTTGTCACTTTGGAACTATGACTCTGTGCTCTATCGTCTATACCACTTGTTTCTTGCTCAAGCTCTTGTATATATTAAGCTTCCTAACTAAATTTGGTTGTCATGAAGAGAGATTTAAATTAATTTGGAATGGAAGGGATAAAGAATGACAGAAGGCCCATTTCTTCTGGTAGTTTAAAGTTTTGATTCCTTTTTAATAAAAGCTCAATAAATCCTTCTCTGTAGCTCCATGCCAAGCCAGACAGAACATCAAACACAAGCCAAATTAAAGCATTTAACAAGTACCTTGTTAACCACATGTTTAATCCTTAATTACCACTTAGCGTGTCCAGTTCTTCTTCACTTCCTGCTCAAGGTCTCCATTCTCTGTTTTCATGCAAGCCATCCATCCACCTATGAGCTAAAGTTGCTCAAAATTGCATAGAAAACAGATTGAGTTTTGTTCGAGTGAATGGATACATATTATGGGTGGAGCAATTAGCTAGCATGCATGTTGCTTAAGTTTTGTTCTTGATTTTGTTGAATCAGTCAAGAAATGTCACAAAACTGTCACATTATGGCATGTGGATTGTCTCCATAATTTTGCTTTAACAATTTTGCTTTAACTGCTCAGTGGGGTTGAATTTTCTAATGTACTTGATTGATTTCACAGACCGAGATATGTGTTCTTATATATCATGTTATTCTTCTCTAATTGTTTAAAATAATTCATTAGTTCTTATATATCAAAACCTGCATTTAAAATCATCTCCAGTTGTTTCTTAATTTTCAAAGAAAGAGAGGCGAGTGCCAAAAAATCTTGGTCTTCTCAAATAATTACACGTTTGTAATTTAGCAAAGAAAATTCAAAGATACGGACGAGTTGTCACTCGTCCCCTTATACTCGTCAAAGTCTAATGGATGTATATTGAATTTCAAAATATCAAATTTGTTATTTCTCCTTTTTCTCCATTTTTCCATAGGCTCCTAAGTCTATCAAAGTCTAGTGTCATTTTTCTCCCTCTGCAACTTGTTATTGTGCTTGTTTCGATTGAATTAAAGAGAATTGAGAGAGACAAAAGATTCTCCTAAATCAATTTTAAGTCAATTTGTCCCTTTAATTGCAACTATGGCTCATGTTCTTCATAATTTAACAGGATAAAAGGTTAAAAATAGGTTGCTAGTTGATTAATATCTTGTTCTCCAAAAAAGTGTTAAAAAAAAAAAAAAGTGGATTTGGTTGTACATTTTTTGATCGGGTTGAAAGAATCCAAAATAATCTTCCACGAGACTTTTGCCATCCCTATCGGCCCATTGTGAATTTAATTTTATGATTGATCAATCTTACTTTTGGTGGATCCATCTTTACATGTTCTACGTTATTAGTTTCTAGTGGGCCAGACAGTTGAATTCTCAATGAACTTTAAAAAAAAAAAAATCTCAGGCCTCTTTTAAGTTTTAAATGATCTTAGGATCCAGACCTAGAAAATCTCATATTACGATGGTTCTTTCCAGTGGATTAAGGTTGGGCCGGAGGATTACTGCTTTGGTCAGCTGGGCTGAATAGCACAAATCATTGCTTCAAATCCAAGCCCTTCATGTGATTTACAGTCTAAGAATATCTAATTATGTTTCAAAATAAAAAAAGGGATTATTCGATTTATTTTATAGAACAGGGACTAACATATAATTTACTCTTTGTTTCTTTAAAAATATATTTTTTCGAAAAAATCCCAAGTTGGCTTAAGTTTTTTTGACCGTTGAAAAGTCACCGCCATTGAAAACCACGTCAACAGCTGATATGATCTTTACAAGTCGGCCCAAAATAAAGAACATATCGTGACGGTAGATATTCCAACTCACCGCTTAATCCTAGCCGTCCCTTCTATTGTTCCCTTGTCTATAAATAGCGCTCAACCGCTTCTAAAATACATCTCTGTCTTTTTTGATTAAATTTCCCGCGTTTTCTTTTCTTGCTTCTTTAGCAATTTGGTAGATCGTTTCGGGAGCAAGTCCAATTTTAGGGTTTGTTTCGGTCCTTTCACGATTAATATCTCTAAATCTTTTTAGGGATCAAAAAAGGGAGATCACTATCTGCTGCCGAGTCTCGAATTGGATTGTCGTTTCGGAATTGAATTTCACTTGAATAACGGAGTTGGTTGGGTTTGTCGCGTTGGTTTTTTCTTTACCAAGAAAGATTAATTTTCCTTTTCTTGGCTTTTTCCGGAGGGTTTTAATTTCAAGATTTTGCAAAAACTTTGGGTGTCCTTTTATTTTTTGGTTTTTGATTTGTTTCTCCAGAGACCTCCCTGATTGATTGATTTTGAGGGTATATGGATTCTTAACTTTGATGCATGAGAGGATGATTTTGTAAAAATTTGAGTTTTGGTTGCGTATTTCTTCTCTGTTTTTCGAGTGCTTTAGAATACCAATATTAATGGGGCGTTTAATGGGATGATAGCTGTGTTTGTTAGTATTATGAAATTTGAGTTTTCATTTTTTTTTCCAGGGTGTTATCTACTTTTTCTATTATTTTGCTTCGTAAATCTTGAGATTTTGTGACGTGCTTGGAGTTGTTAAGTGTTCTTCATAGTTTCTGCCTTCTCTTTCTTTCTTCTTGTAGTTCGTTTTCTTTTTTCTTCGCAATTTGATAGATGGTTTCTCGAGCAAATCTATATTAGGGTTTTTTACGGCCCTTTCAAGATTAATATCCCTACATCTTTTTAGGGATTAAGAAAGGGAGCCCAGTATCTGCTTCCAAGTCTCGAATTGAATTGTCATCTTAAGCCCTAATTTTTATCTTTTTAAGGTTTTTATTAATCTTACCGGTTTTACAGGTAGGCTTTTGGTTTCGGTATCTTGCAATTTCGTAGATATATTTTCTCGATGCGAATCTTGTCGTCGTGGAGAAGATCTTGACATGAATTTTGCAACTGAGAATTGCTCTATGACAGAATATGGTTTTCTTTCCTTTACTCTTGCTTATTATTCTCGACTTGGTGGTTTCGAGAATTTCTGATGTGTTCCTCGTAGTCCTGCTTTGCATAATTAAATTGATGATTCTGCTTTGGATAATTGGGTTTAGGGTTTCAAGAAAATATGGACTAACAAGGAATAAATGCTAGGTGTATAGTCAAGGAGATAATTCAAGAAAACATGGTCAACAAGGAACTTATGATTTGGTTATAAAAGGGATCTGCTGATTTATGACAGTGTGCGGGGTGCTGATTATGTAAGAAAATATCCTTCACCTTTACTTTGGCTTTCATAGTTATGACCTGTAATTAACTAATTGATCAGCTTGCACATTTTTACATTTCTATTCATAACTAAAATCAATGTTTGGAGTCTATTATCCTCTTGTATGTTTTTCTAGGATGTGATTATAAACTACATGAACTAAGAGTGATGAGGGAGTACACTATGTTTTTTCAATGTTCTTAGTGTTAATTTAATTTTGTTTCTGCATCTTGTACCATTTTTATGTAATTGTACTGTTGGGTCTGAGCTACATTTGTGCATTTGCTTTTCCAGGATGCTCGCTCTGTTCTAAGGAATGCTTGGACTGGCATAATAGTTCACAAATTCACTTGACACAACTTGCTTGGCCGAGTAACGTCTGCATTTTTCACTGTTTTTTCTTGATGCATTCTTCTTTCTATGCTTGTTATTTTTTTCCATCTTGCGTTCAGTTTCAGCCAGTGTGCTTGTACATAATGCATTTAGAAAGTTCAAATATGCTTGTTATATTTTTCCATCTTGCGTTCAGTTTCAGCTAGTGTGCATGTACATAATGCATTTTGAAAGTTCAAATGATCATCTCATTAATTATCTATTTGTTGCTTTCATCGATTATTCTTGTTTGATGGCCAGCTAGGGTCTGAATTAATAATTGTGCAATCTTCAGGACCCCATCAAGTATAGGTGTCCAAGAATTATTACTTGCCCTATGTGGTTTACCTTGGCTTGAGGAAGTGGTTTTTCCGTTACCTTCTACCAGCACCAAGTCTTACCTTCGCTTTCTTCACTCTTTTGTCTTGATATGTTTTGATGTTCTATGCATGATGATGTTTTCAACAACAATGTACTGAGTGTGCTCTAATTTTGTTGTTTCGTTGCAATTGACAATTTCATTTTAAAGATAACTATTGTCTGATATTTGCTAACATTTTTTTAAAGGTTCCCTTCATCTTTTTAAGGAGCAATTGTGGATCATGATTGACACAGGAGTGTCTGATGCCTTATTTACTCTTTTCATATATTTTCAATGTTGCGTTAATTTCTAGTATCTAGTCTAAGATTCAGTTTGATTATATGCTCATCCCATCAACTGTGTGAGAGAAGAGTGGGTTTGAAGCAATCAAGGATTTGGGACTCATGTGTTTGCTTGGGCTTTAGGCAATGGTTTTTGTTATTGCTATCAAATCATAGCTTACCTACAGTGTTTATTTTCTTCCCTTTCCTTTTAGATGTCTTTCTTGTTACAGTTCTTGTGTTCGCTTCTATTGATTCTTTGCAGATTTTTTCAAGAATAATGAACCAAATGTCTCTTAAAAATAATGTTTTCAAAAAGAATGCACAAGTGTCTTATAAGTCATAACTTTGTTTTTACATTATAATTCGCATTCTGCTATTATTCTACAAAAACAACTAGTGTCTGCTATTTTGTGTGTTTTTCCTGGATATTTTATGTTTTATTCTTTCAAAATAGAAAGCAATGTGTGGGGACTAGTATCAACCAGGAGTGTTAAATGCATTAATTACTCCCTCATTGTTTCATTGTTTCTTCTCGAAGCATATATTTGAACTGGGAGAGTCTTCTTTTGTGCATGAGTTAACTAAGTACCTTCATTAAATGTTTGAATAGAATGTGAGACTCAAGAATTAATGCCATAAGGTTAATCCTGGAGATAATTCACAAAAACATGGAACAAGGAACTATTGGTAGGATTATAATCAACCAATCAAGGGCTCTACTAATTTGTGACGGTGTCTTGCGGGGCTTATTATGTGAGAAATTTAACTGTCTGGTGGTTTAATTTCTTCAATATCTATTTGGTTTATGCATTCATGACTTATAGTACTGGGTTATGATGTATGTAGGATTGCTTTTTGCAGCGTTTTTATTTTAACTTATGGTGGAGAATGGGGTTGCTGTGATAGGAAACAGCAATGGTGCTCTGATCCATGTCTTGATAATGATGATGCTTTCAACATTCAATCAAGTGTTTGTTAAGTTTGATTTGCATTGCAATCAACAATTTATAATTTTCATCACTTATGTTAGGTTTTGTTTGCAGGACACATTAAGCTCTTTGGAGGAACATATGATGAAGATTAATGAGGGAGTGCTAATCTTTATTTTGTTTTCCCCTTCTTAACAACCTTCATTCTTTTTTCCCTTAAATTGAAGTTTTGAGTAAAAAAATCCTATCTTATGTTTTTTAGGTTGTGATCATAAATGACATGGACTGAGAGTGACAAGGGAATCGATTATGTTTTTGACACCCTGCTGTGTTTTATGTGTTGTTCTAGTTTTCTCTTTATACCTTGTGTACTTTGGTTTTGTAATAGAAGTCTGAGCTGAATGAGTGCATATGCCTTTTCCAGGAAGCTTTAAGGAATATTTGGACTGGCATAATTTAGGAATAAAGTTGACACAACTTGCGTGGCGCAGTACCTCTGTTTTTTCTCTCCTTTTCTTGACACATTCTCCTTTCAATGCTTGATATTTTTTGTTCTCTGTGTATCTTGTGCCCTTTTTTTTTTTTTTTTTTTTTTTGTAATAGAATTGTAGGGTCTGAGCTCAATGTGTGCATATGCCTTTTCCTAGCTGTTCTAAGGAATAGACCTCAAGCTAAACCCAGGATTTTTTACTCGATGTGGTTTGATTTGACTCAAGGAGGTAATTTTTTGGTCACCTTCTACAAGCTTTATATGTAAGCTTTATACTTGAAGGGGTTGTTTTCTTTCCTCTTTTTGTGTTGATGCGTTTTCCTTCCCCATCCCATACAAAACCTTCTGAAAATTTTTTATGCTCTTATTTGCATCATTTCACGCTGATGATCTCTAGATGACAAGTGTGAATACACTGGAGCCTCAGTTTACTCTTTCTCTTCCACTGCTTTTTATATTTTTCAGTGATGCATTAAATTTGAATCTCTAGTCTAAAAGTCAGTTTGATTATGTGTTCTTTAGGACCCCATCAAGCGTCTGAGTGATTGGGTTTAAAGTAAAGGGGTTGCGACTCATGCTTCAAATCTGTTCTCACCAGTGGGGTTTATTTTCTTTCCCTTTCGTTTAGATCTCTTTGTTGTTACAGTTCTTGTCTTCACTTGTATTGATCTTTTGCAGATGTTTTCGAAAATAATGCACCAAGTGTCTCTTAAGTTGTAACTAGTTTTTTAATTTTAATCCACAATCTGCTAATTATTCGTCAAAAACATAATGAGTGACTGCTTTGTCTGTGTGCTATTTTAAAGGGATGTGCGCGGACTAGGATTAAACGAAGAGTGTTTAATGCATTATCTGCTCGCATTTTTCATGCCTGTTACATTGTTTTTTCTTTTTTCTTTTTTCTTTTTCTTTTTCTTTTTCTTTTTCTTTTTCTTTTTCTTTTTTTTTAAATTCAAGTGTTTGGTCTAAGTTTCAGTTCGTGTATTTCTTCCTGGAGCATAGATTTGAACTATGAGTGTCTTTTTTGATGGAAGAGTTGACTGAGTTCTTCTCAGTTATTTCTTTCATTTCTTTTGTGTGAATGTGTTTATTTGTATAATAGAGCTTGGTTCAAGTTTATTTGTGTTCTTCCTGGGCCCCGTCCAATGTTTTAGGTGTTAAGTGTAGGTTCTTGCATGATGAAATTTTCATGTTCTGCTTCATAGTTTTTTTATGTGTCTCAACTGAATGTTTGGCAGAAAAAAAGCTTATGGTAATAATGAAGAGTCTTATTGTTTCAAAACTTTCAGTAAACTGAGTTACTTATCAATTGTTTTTCTTACTGCCTTAGATAATTTTAATTGACATTTACATATTCCTCACTTTAAAATGAATTTTTTGACTGAGACTAACACAGACTTGGCCTAGGTAGGCTTTAAAGTATGCTTGTTGTTTTTCATCCTCTCAGATTATGATGCTGATATGCGTTTGTTGAGTTTAAACTTTGGTTTCAGGGTGTTATTTAGAATAAATAGACTGCTGTAAGTGGAGTTTTTGTGCTTTGTGTTGACTGATGTTGGTGCCTCAACTACTTGCATTAAAACCCATATAATTATGTCACCCCCATTCGTGGTTAGATGCTGTGTCTTTTCTTTAATTGTGCTTTTCCATCATCTCTTCAAAAAGGCTTTGCTTGTGTTTTTCTAACATCTCTTCAAAATGATAATTGGGGCTTTATAAGTATGGTTGCAGATCACTAAAATGTCTTTTCTACTCTGATAGTTCTAGGAAAAAATTGATCAAATTGATAGTATAAGCCTCAACGTGCCACAACCCTAATAGTTCTGGGCAAAAATGCCATTAAACCAATTCTTCAAGTGCTATGTTTGATTCTGAAGGGGTAACAGCTTCAGGGGCATTGTAGGCATTAAAATAATCATCTCACGTACAAAATGGCAAACTTGTGGTTATTTGAACATTGTCTTTTGACAGAGACTAACATCTACAAACGGAATAAAATTTGAGTCTAAGCTCTGTTTGCATGTTTTTCTAGGATATCCTGGGTTTTGTATTTAGTATGGGCTAAAGATCAACTGGGGAGTGTTCTACCAGATGTCCTTTATTTTTTTTTTTGGCGTTTATCTCGTCTTTTACAGTAACTTGATCCATCTGAACTTTTCATACTGTGTGTTTTTTTCAGGGTGTTGTTGACAAATACATGAGCAAAGATAAATGGGTTTGGGGGAGTGGGTTATAGCTGGTGTAATTAAGTGCCTGATGATTTCTACAACTGGCAAAGCACCAAGTATCTCTTTAATCAGCTTTTGTTCATAATTGGAGGTGTTACTTTGTTGTAGCGTGATTTTTGGATCAGCTTCTAATTGTGATATCAGGATTGAAAGGCAAGTCTCAGATATTCTTTATAAGTGCCTTCTTTGTGGGTTTGTATGCTTTTAAAAGCGGCTGCTTTTTACCTGTTTGTCTTGATAAGTAATGGTGGTGTTCAGAGACTTCCTGGCTAAAGATGTTTATGCATCCATTTGATTCTAACTTCTCATGAATTCTACCAAGCACAATCTTTGTTGCGTTTACTCATACTTTATGGGGTCAGTTGATGCTTATTTAATGGTGGCGGTTAATTGGCTGTCGGGAGTTATTGACGGATGGCTATTTTCCCTCCCAGTTACTGTGTGAGGAAGCTCTATTCTATGCTTTTCATTGATTGGTGACGATTAAGTCTTGGAAATTTTTATTGACTGGGTGTGCTTCACTTTGGTTAGTGGTCTCTTTTCTTCTTGGCAGAACCTGCTATTAGAAGTAGTTGATTATATGGTTCAGGTCCGTTGCTATATCTCTGGTAGTCTTGTTTTCAGATACCAATTGATTTCTAGTACTATGGTCTGGGCTAAGATTGCTTTTGGTTACTTGGAATGAAATTAGCCATTTGGGAAAGCATCTCTAATCATCAGATGATTGTTTGCTCATTAGGAAGTGTTGCTATCTCCTGACTTGTGTAGATGCCAAAAACTAAGTTGTTATGGTTGAATTTCTGCATTCTCCATGGCTGGTGCTTTATCTGTAAGTGCTGTTTCTTCTGGTTTCAGATTGTGGTATTGTCACCAGTGACTTGTCAAAGGTTGTTAAATATAAAGACTTGCTGTGTGTGCTTGTACTCTGTCTGGTTGTATGCATGTAACTCCGCCTGTGTTGCATCACATGCAGCTCACAGCCGGTCTCAAGCCCGGGGCAAGGAGGGGAGGTGCTATGAAGATTGAAATATTTGCTGATGATGCAATGGCTAGTAGCTAGTCTTCCTCTTGCTTTCTTAATATATTCTTTCCGTTTTTTTTTTAATTTATTTTTAACTTAGTTTAGTGAGTGATGCGATGTGTAACCTTTGTTGTTTATACATCAATGATCAGGGTAACCGGGACTGAATATTTAACATTTCGGTATTCAATCTTCATATTCTTAAATCAGCCGAGCATTGGGTGCCATAAACTGAAGTAATACGCTGAGAGTTTGTTTGTTCATGGTATTAAAACTATCATGAGAAAAGGTTTGATGCTTTGGGGTTAAGGATGTGACTTCTAGTTGCGGAAGTCTCATTTCTTCTATATATGTTCTCTTGATTTAGTTTTTTCTCTCAAATTTGTTCAATGTCAATTTTGCAGTTGGAAGACAGCCCAAGCAAATTTATAAGCCAATTCTTGATTTTCTGGTGTCCTCTCTATGTTACGGGGATGCTTTGGTAACTTCAATTTAACACCTATTTTGTAGGACAGTGTTGGAATTTGAAATGGGTATTGCATCTCATTGGAGAGAGTAATTGAATTCTAGTCCTTGCCTGGTTGCAAAGTATGCTATTTTTTCTACAGTTTAATCGACAATCTGCTATTATTCTACAAAAATATAACTAGTGTCTGGCTGTCTGCTATTTTTTTAAAACGAGATGTATTTGGACTACCGTTAAACCAAGTGGTTTATGCATCTGGTGGTTTCCCTTTTCAGTTAACGATCGATTGTTTAACTGGTTTTTCTTTCACCTGACTCAAGGTTATGTTTTCAATATTAACAGTCTCTTTGAGTTTGTATCCTACTGGCAGCAAAAATCAGTTGTGGGGTATTTTATTGTTCTCTTCTTTATTTGTGATTTGCCTTGCCTTTTTCATTTTCACCTTCTCAACCAGTTAAATGTAAATGAATCCTTAGCTTTGAGGAAGGGATTCAGGGATATTGCTTTAATCTGCTCCTGTCAGAGAGGGTTACGGTTTCTTCTGGATTCAGGGATAGTGCTTTAATCAGTTGCTGTTACAGAGGGAGTACTGCAACATTCCACTTGTTTCCATGCATAATTGTTAACTTTCGACGAGATCATAATGTCTGGTCATCCCACCTTGTAGCAGAGCTGTCCGTGTAATGTAAACAACTCTATGTTTTCTTTTCTTTTGGTATGCTGATGTTGGGACTTGGTTTTGTGGCTGACTTTAGAAACTTGCAGTAGGTCTGGCCTGTTTCTTCAGACAGTTTGTTTTTCACCTTCTGCATAATTAGTTTCGTTTAATGTGACCAGTCTGATGATAGGAAATGCTTGCAAGTACGGTGGTTTCTTTCACATTTTCTGATGATGGAAGATGTTTGGGTTGGAACCTTTTATTAGAGCATGTTTAAGTGTGGTTTTCTCTTTTCATCAATGGTTAGAATTTGGAACAAGTTCCATTTGCAAAGGTAAGAGGGGACAGTTCTGTAAGTAATCTGAGGTGAGCTTGCCACCGTATATAGGATGGTTCTGACGTTTCGAGTTGTTGATCTCTTATTATTAAGCCACAAGAAGAAGTTAGGATTTATTTGCAAGTTTTGATCCAACTGTTTCTACAGGGGAAAGATTGTGATATGGAGTTGGAATGATTTTACTTTTTTACTTGTTTTCTTCATCCAAATCAAGTCGTAAGTTTTAATTGTATGTTCCTCTGGTTCCTTCAATAACTTAGGAGATGTATGCAGGGATTGTTACATAAATTCTCCGTTCTTCCTTCATAAAATCTGCCGCATGTGTTTGCTTAGACTTGTTTTACGGTCAAGATATCCTTCTGCTATGGATATTGATATTGCTAGACAGAGCATTTGTTAGAACAGTATTATTTGTTAGGACTTACTAAGCGGTGCTGCACCCTTTGTTATTAAGGGGGAAAAAAACTGAAAAAATAATGCTTATTCATTCCTTTGCTCGGAGAGGATATTTCACGTGCATGATCATTACGTGTTGAAGTTCAGTGCAGTTAGTCTTTCCATATTGCTGCATGTAATCCTGCTGAATGATTGTAAATGATTTGTTTCTATTATGACTAAAGAGCATTTCCTTTACAAGTTATTGCCATGTTTGAGAATCCTTGTTTCCCTCAGCTGTTGCAGATTCTTCTTTGTTGTACAGTGGATCTGACTGAAAAAATAATTCTCTTGTTTTAAAAACTAATTATTTAATTTCTATAGTTTTAAATTTTCTTATAACTTAATCCTTTTTGTTATTACTCACTTTATTTTGATTTTTTGTTATAAGAAATAGCAAAATAAAAAAGAATAAGTAAAAAATATGGACGGATTGAAGACATTTTTTTAAAATAAAGTCAATATTAGTAAAAAAAATAAATAATTGGTCTTTGAAACATGGGGGACTAATTTATGATTTACTCTTTTTTTTTTCCATGTACAGATTCTATATTATAAATATTTAGAGGTGATTTATCACGCATATATAGAGGTGATTTTCTTTCCTAGCTTCGAAATATTTTCTGCCTAATCATACTGCATTAAATTTGTATAGATACAATGTTTTTCCACGAAAAATATGAGCCTTCCAAAACTTCCTTAATCCACAAGCCAGAAACATTTACCTTGTACCTTGTCAACGACATGTGGCCAAGAAGTCTTGCCTATCGTGTCTGTTTCTTCTTCAACCTATTAGCTAAAGTTGCTCAAAATTGCAGAGAAAATAGAAGGGGAAAAAAAGGGTCCATGTTGCTGAAACTTATCTTTCCATCTCCTTTCTTTGTTGAAGCAATGTCTGTGGTTTCTACTGCATCATTACGATATGTTGGGCTTTCAGACTGATACTCCAAAACCTTAGCATTTCAGATGATTAAAACAGCTAATAGAGGGATTCTTAGTGGTATTTTTTATCCTATTTTGGTCACTAATTAAAGAAATAAAAAGAACGGAGGTTTCAGGAGCTTCTCTAGTGTCATAGGACTTTTTAATGGATTGTGCAGTGGCAGAAGAGCTGTTATTGGTCTTAGATTATTGCTGGTCAAGTCAGCTCTTACCTTGCATTTTTCGAGACTCCTGAGGTATCTTCTACCATGAAAGTATTGGATGATTTGTGTAATTTGTCTGCTTTCTTCATGTTATGCAGGTGACGTTTGTCCACAAGTATAGCGATATTTTTGCTGGGAATTGTCGGCAACTTCTACCACCACCACCTCCACCTCCTTGCCTCGTTGAGAGCCAAGAATGACAAAGGATAAAAGGTTCCTAAGCGCAATATGCTACTTGATGGGGACGAGTTATGCCACTAGGAGATGGTATCATTCCTTACGTTTTTTGAATGATTCAAACATAGAATTGGAGTTGTCACTTGACTCACTTTGGAACTATGACTCTGTGCTCTATCGTCTATACCACTTGTTTCTTGCTCAAGCTCTTGTATATATTAAGCTTCCTAACTAAATTTGGTTGTCATGAAGAGAGATTTAAATTTGGAGTAGAAGGGATAAAGAATGGCAGAAGACTCATTTCGTCTGGTAGTTTTAATATTTGATTGCTCTTTAATAAAAGCTCAATAAATCCTTCCATGTGGCTCCCTGCCAAGCCAGACAGAACACCAAACACAAGCCCAAAGCATCCAACAAGTACCTTGTTAACCACATGTTTAATCCTTAGTAATGTTTCCAGTTCTTCTTCACTTCCTGCTCAAGGTATCTCTGTTTAAATGCAAGCCATCCGTCCACCTATTAGTTAAATGTGCTCAAAATTGCAGAGAAACAAGATGTTGCCCACGTTGCTGGGACTTTTCTTTCCACATCCTTTCTTTATCAAAGCAATGTTTTGTGATTTGTGTTATGTCGTTCGGAAATGTTGGGCTCTCCGAGATTAGAAGTAAGCATATGCAATACCCCAAAAAAAGAAAGATACCTCTATTTGTTTGGGTTTTTATTTTATTTTTAGTCTTTTATTTGTGATTTATGGTTAAAAAAAATTCATGATGCTAATTGTTACTCCTCCATATTTCCTGTCTTTTCTTTCAAAATAAAAATGTATGCTTAATCCCAAGAAAAAAAGAAAAGAAAAGAAAAGAAAAATCAAAGTTTTACGGTTTGTTTCTTGAGTAAATTATAAATTAGTCCCTCTAGTTTTCAAAAAAAATTAAGTAGTCTCTCTAGTTTTAATAACTAATAATTAGTTTCTATATTTTCAAATTTTTTTGTAACGTAATTTTTTATTTCTTTTATTTTTTAATTAATAAAAAGATAAAATATTAAAAAAATTGATTGGAAAAGAAAACATTTTTGAAACAAAATAATATTATTAAATTGATAATGATCAACAGTGGGCTAATGATTAATTAATTATGCTTCAAAATAAAAAGGGATTATTCGATTTATTTTACATAACTATAGGGACTACCATATAATTTTCTTTTTGTTTCTTTAAAAATATATTTTTTCAAAAAAAAAAAAATCCCAAGCTGGCTTAAGTTTTTTGACCGTTGAAAAGTCACCGCCATTGCAAAACCGCGTCAACACCTGCTATAATCTTTACAAGTCAGCCTATAATAAAAACAAATCGTGACGGTAGATATTTCAACGCACCGCTTAATCCTAGCCGTCCCTTCTATTGTTCCCTTGTCTATAAATAGGGCTCACCCGCTTCTAAATTACATCACTCTGTCTTTTTTGATTAAATTTTCTGCTATTTCTTTTCATTCTTTCTTCTTGTAGTTCGTTTTCTTGCTTCTCTAACAATTTGGTAGATCGTTTAGCGAGCAAGTCTAATTTTACGGTTTGTTTCGGTCCTTTCAAGATTAATATCTCTAAATCTTTTTAGGGATCAAAAGAGTCTCGAATTGGATTCTCGTTTCGGAATTGAATTTATTGGAATAACGGAGTTGGTTGGGTTTGTCGCGTCGGTTTTTTCTTTATCAAGAAAGATTAATTTTCCTTTCCTTGGCTTTTTTCGGGGGTTTTAATTTCAAGATTCTGCAAAAACTTCGGGTGTCCTTTTATTTTTTGCTTTTTCTCTTTGTTTCTCCAGAGACCTCCCTGATTGATTGATTTTAAGGGTATATGGATTCTTAATTTAGATGCATGAGGGGATGATTTTGTAAAAATTTGAGGTTTGATTGCGTATTTCTCCTTTGTTTTTTTCGAGTGCTTTAAAGAATACCAATATTAATGGGTCGTTTAATGCGATGATAGCCGTGTTTGTTAGTATTATGAAATTTGAGTTTTCATTCTCTTTCCATGGTGTTTTCTACTTTTTCTATTATTTTGCTTCTTAAATCTTGAGAGTTTGTGACGTGCAATTTGATAGATGGTTTCTCGAGCAAATCTATATTAGGTTTTGTTACGGTACTTTCAAGATTAATCTCTAAATCTTTTTAGGGATTAAGAAAGGGAGCCCAGTATCTACTGCCGAGTCTTGAATTGAATTGTTATCTTAAGCCCTAATCGTTATCTTTTTAAGGTTTTTATTAATCTTACTGGTTTTACAGGTAGGTTTTTGGTTTCGGTATCTTGAAATTTCGTATATATATTTTCTCGATGCGAATCTTGTCGTCGTAGAGAAGATCTTGACATGAATTTTGGAACCGAGAATTGCTATATGACAGAATATGGTTTTCTTTCTTTTACACTTCCTTATTATTCTCGACTTGGTGCTTTCGAGAATTTCTGATGTGTTCCTCGTAGTCCTGCTTTGCATAATTGAATTGATAATTCTGCTTTGGATAATTGGGTTTAGGGTTTCAAAAAATATGGACTAACAAGGATTAAGTACTATGCGTATAGTCAAGGAGACAATTCAAGAAAACATGGTCAACAGGGAACTGATGGTATGGGTGTGGAAGGGATCTCCTGATATATGACAGTGTGTGGGGTGCTGATTATATGAGAAAATATCCTTCACCTTTACTTGGCCTTTCATAGTTATGACTTGTAATTAACTAATTGATCAGCTTGCACTTTTTAACATTTCTATTCGTAACTAGAATCAATGTTTGGAGTCTATTATCCTCTTTTATGTTTTTCTAGGATGTGATTATAACCTACATGAATTAAGAGTGATGTGGGAGTGCATTATGTTTTTTCAATGTTCTTAATGTTAATTTAATTTTGTTTCTAAATCTTGTATCATTTTTATGTAATCGTAATGATGGGTCTGAGCTGCGTTTATGCATTTGCTTTTCCAGGATCCTCGCTCTGTTCTAAGGAATGCTTGGGCTGGCATAATAGTTCACAAATTCACTTGACACAACTTGCTTGGCTAAGTAACGTTTGCATTTTTCACTGCTTTTTCTTGATGCATTCTTCTTTCTATGCTTGTTATATTCTTCCATCTTGCATTTAGTTTCAGCTACAGCTAGTGTGCTTGTACATAATGCATTTTAAAAGTTCAAGTGATCATCTCATTAATTATCTATTTGTCGTTTTCATTGATTATTCTTGTTTGATGGCCAGCTAGGGTCTGAATTAATAATTGTGCGATCTTCAGGACCCCATCAAGTGTTCTATAAGGGTCCAAGAATTATTACTTGCTACATGTGGTTTACCTTGGCTTGAGGAAGTGGTTTTTCTGTTACCTTCTACCAGCACCGAGTCTTACCTTCGCTTTCTTCACTCTTTTGTCTTGATATGTTTTGATGTTCTATACATGATGATGTTTTCAACAACAATGTACTGAGTGTGCTCTAATTTTGTTGTTTCGTTGCAATTGACAATTTCATTTTAAAGATAACTATTGTCTGATATTTGCTAACATTTTTTTATGGGTTCCCTTCATCTTTTTAAGGAGCAATTGTGGATCATGATTGACACGGGAGTGTCTGATGCCTTATTTACTCTTTTCCTTTATTTTCAATGTTGCATTAATTTCTAGTATCTGTCTGAGAGAGTGGGTTTGAAGTAATCAAGGATTTGGGACTTGTGTGTTTGCTTGGGCTTTAGGCAATGGTTTTTGTGAGTGCTATCAAATCGTAGCTTACCTACAGAGTTTATTTTCTTCCCTTTCTGTTTAGATCTCTTTCTTGTTACAGTTCTTGTGTTTGTTTGTATTGATTCTTTGCAGATTTTTTCAAGAATAATGAACCAAATGTCTCTTAAAAAGAATGTTTTCAAAAAGAATGCACAAGTGTCTTATAAGTCATAACTTTATTTTTACATAATAATTTGCATTCTGCTATTATTCTACAAAAACAACTAGTGTCTGCTACTTTTGTGTGTTTTTCCTGTATATTTTATGTTTTATTCATTCAAAATAGAAAGCAATGTGTGGGGACTAGTATCAACCAGGAGTGTTAAATGCATTAATTACTCCCTCTTTTCCAGGTTACATTGTTTTTCGTTGCATCAGATAGTTTAGTCTAAGCTTCAGTTTCAGTGTTTCTTCCCTGAAATGGGAGAGTCTTCTCTTATGCATGAGTTAACTAAGTACCTTCTTCTTTCATTTCTTTCATCTCATGGTGTTGTATAATTTTATTTGTTCTTCATTGTGGTTTGATAATTTCTGATGCATTCTTTCTAATTCTGTTTTATATCATTGGGTTTTCAGTTTCATTAAATGTTTGAATAGAATGTGAGACTCAAAAGAATTAATGCCATGAGGTTAATCCAGGAGATAATTCACAAAAACATGGAATGAGGAACTATGGGTAGGATTATAATCAACCAATCAAGGGCTCTACTAATTTGTGACGGTGTCTTGCAGGGCTTGTTATGCGAGAAATTTAACTGTCTGGTGGTTTAATTTCTTCACTATCTATTTGGTTTATTCATTCATGACTTAATAGTACTGGGATATGATGTATGTCGGATTGCTTTTTGCAGTGTTTTTATTTTAACCTATGGTGGAGAATGGGGTTGCTGTGATAGGAAACAACAACGGTGCTCCAATCCATGTCTTGATAATGATGATGCTTTCAACATTCAATCAAGTGTCTTGTTAAGTTTGTTTTGCATTGCAATCAATAATTTATAATTTCATCACTTATGTTAGGTTTTGTTTCCAGGACACATTAAGCTCTTTGGAGGAACATATGATGAAGATTAATGAGGGAGTGTTAATCTTTATTTTGTTTTCTCCTTCTTCTTAACATCCTTCATCTTTTTTTCCCTTAAATTGAAGTTCTGAGTAAAAAAAATCCTATCTTATGTGTTTTTAGGTTGTGATCATAAATGACACGGACTAAGAGTGACAAGGGAATTGATTATGTTTTTGACACCCTGCTGTGTTTTAAGTGTTGTTTTAGTTTTCTTTTTGTACCATGTGCACTTTGGTTTTGTAATAGAAGTCTAAGCTGAATGAGTGCATGTGCCTTTTCCAGGATGCTCTAAGGAATATTTGGACCGGCATAATTTAGGAATAAAGTTGACACAACTTGCTAGGGGGAGTACGTCTGTTTTTTCCTCTCCTTTTTTTGACACATTCTTCTTTCAATGCTTGATATTTTTTGTTCTATGTGTATCTTGTGCCTTGTATAATTTCTACTGGTTTGATAGAGGCACCTAGGTCTTAGTTGACTGTGTGGTGTTCCAGGATTCCATCAAGTGTTCTATAAGGAGGGGACTCAAATTAAACCCAGGATTTGTTATCGATGTGGTTTGATTTGACTCAGGGCGGTAATTTTTTGGTCACCTTCTACGGGCTTTATATGTAAGCTTTATACTTGAAGGGGTTGTTTTCTTTCCTCTTTTTTGGTCAACAAGGCAACAAGTGTGACTTAATTTTTTTTTTTTTTCTTAATCGCAATCAACAATTTATACTGAATGATAACCACTGCTTGATCTTGCTAGAACTTGTACGATCCCTGCAAGGACCATATATGGAGTGTGAAAACACGGGAGTCTCAGTTTACTCTTTCCCTTCCACTGCTTTTTATATTTTTCAATGATGCATTAAATTTGAGTCTCGAGTCTAAAAGTCAGTTTGATTATGTGTTCTTTAGGACCCCATCAAGCGTTTGAGTGATTGGGTTTAAAGTAAAGGGATTGCGACTCATGCTTGCTAGCACTTAAGGCAGTGGTTTTTGTCATTGCTCCTACCAGCTTCAAATCTGTTCTCACCAGCAGGGTCTATTTTCTTTCCCTTTCGTTTAGATCTCTTTGTTGTTACAGTTCTTGTCTTCACTTGTATTGATCTTTTGCAGATGTTTTGGAAAATAATGCACCAAGTGTCTTGTAAGTTGTAACTTAGTTTTTTAGTTTTTTAGTTTTAATCCACAATCTGCTAATTATTCTTCAAAAACATAATGAGTGGCTGCTTTGTATGTGTGCTATTTTAAAGGGATGTGTGGACTAGGATTAAACGAAGAGTGTTTAATGCATTACCTGCTCCCATTTTTCATGCCTGTTACATTTTTTTTTAAAAAAAAAATCAAGTGTTTGGTTACGTTTCAGTTTGTGTATTTCATACTGGAGCATAGATTTGAACTATAAGTGTCTTTTTTGATGCAAGAGTTGACTGAGTTCTTCTCAGTTATTTCTTTCATGTCTTTTGTGTTAATGTGTTTATTTGTATGATAGAGCTTGGTTCAAGTTTATTTGTGTTATTCCCGGGCCTCGTCCAATGTTTTAGGTGTTAAGTGTAGGTTCTTGCATGATGATATATATATTTTTTTCCTTGTCTCAATCGAATGTTCCAAGGAAATGTGTTGCTGTATAGGAACTGAATGCTTGACAGAAAAAAAGCTTATGGTAACAATAAAGAGTCTTATTCTATACATGATGCTCTCAAAACTTTCAGTAAACTAAGTTAATTGTCAATTGTTTTTCATACTGCCTTAGATAATTTTAATTGAAATTTACAATTTCCTCTCTTTAAAATGAATTTTTTAACTAAGACTAACACAGACTTGGACTAGGTTGGCTTTGAAGTATGCTTGTTATTTTACCTTCTCTCAGATTATGATGCTGATATGGGTTTGTATTAAGTTTAAACTTTGGTTTCAGGTGTTATTTATAATATATAGACTGCAGTAAGTGGAGTGTTTGTGCTTTGTGTTGACTGATGTTGGTGCCTCAACTACTTGCATTAAAACCCATATATTTATGTCACCCCCATTCATGGTTAGATGCTGTCTTTCTTTAATAGTGCTTTTCCATGATCTCTTCAAAAAGGCTTTGCTTGTGTTTTTCTAGCATCTCTTCAAAATGATAATTGGGGCTTTTTAAGTATGGTTGCAGATCACTAAAATGTCTTTTCTACTCTGATAGTTCTTGGACAAAATTAATCAAATTGATAGTATAAGCCTCAACGTGTCACAACCCTAATAGTTCTGGAAAAAGTTGCCATCAAACCAATTCTTTAAGTGCTATGTTTGATTCTGAAGGGGTAACAGCTTCAGGGGCATTGTAGGCGTTAAAATCATCTCACGTACAAAATGGCGAACTTGCAGTTATTTGAAAACTGTCTTTTGACTGAGACTAACATCTACAAATGGAGTAAAATTTGAGTCTAAGCTCTGTTTGCATGTTTTTCTAGGATATCCAGGGTTTTACATTTAGTTTGGGCTAAAGATCAACTGGGGAGTGTTCTATGAGATGTCTTTTTTTTTTGGGGGGGGGGGGGGGGGGGGTGTGGGGGCGCATTTCTCTGTCTTTTACAGTAACTTGCGGTGTGTGTTTTTTTCAGGGTGTTGTTGACAAATACATGAGCAAAGATAAATGGGGTTTGAGGGAGTGGGTTATAGCTTGTATAATTAAGTTCCTGATGATTTCTACAACTGGCAAAGCACCAAGTATCTCTTTAATCAGCTTTTGTTCATAATTGGAGGCGTTACTTTGTTGTGGCATGATTTTTGGATCAATTTCTAATTATGATATAAGGATTGAAAGGCATGTCTTTTTGGAAGGGCTATTTTGTTCATCTTCTCTTTTAATTTCTCTGCTTCAATTTCTTTGCATTTGTTTTTCTTGGCTCTTGAGTTTTTTCTCAGCAGATGAACATTGGCGAAGCAGCTAGCAGTGGCCTTGTCCTTTCTGTTTAAGTTACTTGTACACCATGTGGTGCCGTATGCTGTGTTTTTTTGGGATTGTTAGATGCTGGTCAAGACTTAGATATTCTTTATAAGTGCCTTCTTTGTGGGGGTGTATGCTTTTACAAGCGGGTGCTTGTTACCTGTTTGTCTTGATAAGTAGTCCTGGTGTTCGAAGACTTGCTGGCTAAACATATTTATGCATCCAATTGATTCGAAGTTCTCATGAATTCTACAAGCACAATCTTTGTTGCGTTTGCTTATGCTTTGTGGGGTCAGTTGATGCTTATTTAATGGTGGCGGTTACTTGGCTGTCAGGAGTTATTGACAGATGGCTATTTTCCCTCCCAGTTATTATGTGAGGAAGCTCTATTCTATGCTTTTCATGGATTGGTGACGATTAAGTCTTGGAAATTTTTATTGACTGGGTGTGCTTCACTTTGGTTATTGGTCTCTTCTCTTTTTGGCAGAACCTGCTATTAGAAGTGGTTGATTATATGGTTCAGGTCTGGTAGTCTTGTTTTCAGATACTGATTGATTTCTGGTACGATGGGCTAAGATTGCTTTTGGTTATATGGAGTGAAATCAGGCATTTGGGCAAGCATCTCTAATCATCCGATGACTGTTTGCTCGTTAGGAAGTGTTGCTATCTCCTGACTTGTGTAGATGCCAAAAACTAAGTTGTTATGGTTGAAATTCTGCATTGTCCATGGCTGGTGCTTTATCTTTATGTGCTGTGTGTTCTGGTTTCGGATTGTGGTATTGTCACCAGTGACTCGTCAAGGGTCGTTCTTTATATAAAGACTTGCTGTGTGTGCTTGTACTCTGTGTGGTTGTATGCATGTAACTCCGCCTGTGTTGCATCACATGCAGATCACAGCCGGTCTCAAGCCCGGGGCAAGGAGGAGAGGTGCTATGAAGATTGAAATATCTGTTCATGATGCAATGGCTAGTAGCTAGTCTTCCTCTTGCTTTCTTAATATATTCTTTCTGTTTTTTATTTTTTATTTTTAACTTAGTTTAGTGAGTGTGATGTGATGTGTAACCTTTGTTGTTTATACATCAATGATTAGGGTAAACGGGACAGAATATTTAACACTTTGGTATTCAATCTTCATATTCTTAAATCAGCCTAGCATTGGGTGCTATAAAGTGAAGTAATACGCTGAGAGTTTGTTTGGTCATGGTGTTAAAAGTATTATGAGAAAAGGTTTGATGCTTTGGGGTTAAGGACGTGACTTCTAGTTGCTGAAGTCTCATTTCTTCTATATATGTTCTCTTGATTTAGGTTTTTCACTCAAATTTGTTTCCTGTCAATTTTGCAGTTGGAAGACAGCTCAAGCAAATTTATAAGTAGGCCAATTCTTTATTTTCTGGTGTCCTCTTTATGTCACGGGGATGTTTTCGTAACTTCAACTTAGCTCCTATTTTGTTGGACGGTGTTGGAATTTGAAATGGGTATTGCATCTCATTGGAGAGAGTAATTGATTTTTCGTCCTTGCCTGGTTGCAAATTATGCTATTTTTTCTACATTTTAATCGACAATCATGCTATTATTCTACAAAAATATAACTAGTGTCTGCTATTTTTTTTTAAAGAGATGTATTTGGACTACCATTAAACCAAGACTGTTTAATGCTTCTGTTGGTTTCCCTTTTAGATTAAGGTTTGATTGTTTAGCCGAGTTTTCTTTCACCTGACTCAAGGTTATGTTTTCAGGTTTCAATGATATTAACACTCTCTCTTTGAGTTTGTATCCTATTGGCAGCAAAAATCAGTTGTGGGGTATTTTATTGTTGTCTTCTTTATTTGTGATTTTACCTTGCCTCTCTCATTTTTCACTTTCTCAACCAGTTAAATTTAAATGAATCCTAGCTTTGAGGAAGGGATTCAGGGATATTGCTTTAATCAGCTGGTGTCACAGAGGGAGTACTGCAACATTCCACCTGTTTCCATGCATATTGTTAACTTATGACGAGATTATTATTATAGTGTCTGGTCATTGCTTCAATCAGCTGCTGTCACAGAGGGGAGTACTGCAACATTCCACCTGTTTCCATGCATATGTGTTAACTTTCAGCGAGATTATTATTATTATAATTTCTAGTCATTGCTTTAATCAGCTGCTGTCACAGAGGGAGTACTGCAGCATTCCATCTGTTTCCATGCATGTGTTAACTTTCGACGAGATTATTATTAGAATGTCTGGTCATCCCACCTTGTAGCAGAGCTGTCTGTGTTACGTAAACAACTCTCTGTTTTCTTTTCTTTTGTAATGCCTGATTTTGGGACGTGGTTTTGTGGCTGACTTTTGAAGCTTGCAGTAGGTCCGGCCTGTTCCTTCACACAGTTTGTTTTTCACCTTCTGCATAATTACTTTCCTTTAATGTGACCAGTCTGATGATAGGAAATGCTTGCAAGCACGGTGGTTTCTTTCGCATTTTCTGTCTGATGTAGATGTTTGGGTTGGAACCTTTAGTTAGAGCATGTTTATGGTTTTCTCTTTGGATCGATGGGTTAGAATTTGGATTAGAATTTGGATTAAGTTCCATTTGCAAAGGTGAGAGGGTACGATTCTGTTAGAAATCTGAGTTGATTGTATGCTTTTCCAGTCTTCTTTTGTGTGTTTTGAAGAAATAATAGATCGGCTGCTGTTAACGCTTGGTTTCTTCTTATATGTTTCTTGGTATGATGAACCTGAGATGTTTTAATTTGAGTTTCAGCTGTGTTTTCCAGTGTCCCTTGACTTGAGAACTACAAAGACCAGGATTGTTCAGGCAGTGCTGTATGTATTCGACACCGTTCCCTGATGAATTGCTCAAATTGGTATTTTATTTTTATTTCTTTTATAGTAGTCAAGGTTGTGATATACTGGCTCTTTTCTTCTGCTGTCCCATCTTTGTCACTAGTGTCACATTAGGCCTGCCATTGAATGCTGATACTAAGGAGCTGATTCAGCAAGAGAACTCTGACTGGTTTGATTTCTACCATTTTCTCTTCCATTTTTTTTTTTTTGGGTAAGGTGAGCTTGGAACTGTATATATGATGGTTCTGATGTTTGGAGTTGTTGATCTCTTATTATTATGCCATAAGAAGAAGTTAGGATGTATTTGGAAGTTTTGACGCTACTGTTTCTACAGGGGAAAGATTGTGGTATGGGGTTGGAATGATTTTACATGTTTTCTTCGTTCATATTATCAAGTCGTAAGTTTTAATTGTATGTTCTTCTGGTTCCTTCAATAACTTAGGAGATGTATGCAGGGATTGTCATATAAATTCTCCTTTCTTCCTTCATAACGTCTGCCGCTTGTGTTCTTGCTTAGAGTTGTTTTACGGTCATGATATCCTTCTGCTATCGATATTAATATTGCTAGCTCGGCTTCTGAAAATATTATAAAATCTAGCTAAAGTTGGATTTTATGTTGCGATATGTAATGGGTGCCAACATATCATAATCCTGAGAAAATTTTCAGTACTTGTTTATATCAAATTCTTCTTCTTGTGGATGGTGCAATTTTCACCATTTATTCAAAAATATGTTTCAAGCATAGAATTGGAGTTGTCACTTTGGAACTATGACTTTCAGCTCTATATACCATCTGTTTCTTACTCAATCTCTTGTATTTGTAAGCTTCCTAACTAAGTTCGGTTGTCATGAAGAGAGATTTAAATTTGGAATGGAAGAGAGAGAGAACGGCAGAAGGCCCATTTCTTCTCGTAGTTTTAAGAATTGATTGCTCTTTAATAAAAGCTCAATAAATAATTCCATGTGGCTCCATGCCAAGCCAGAAAGAACACCAAACGCAAGCCAAAAGCACCCAACAAGTACCTTGTTAACAACATGTTTAATCCTTACTAATGTGTCCAGTTCTTATTCACTTCCTGCTCAAGGTCACCATTCACTGTTTAAATGCAAGCATCCGTCCACCTATTAGCTAAAGTTGCCCAATGTTGCTTGGAGTTCTTTTTCCTCATCCTTTCTTCATCAAAGCAATGTCTGTAATTTGTGGTGTGTCATTAGGAAATGTTGGGCTCTCAGAGATTTGACGAAAGCATATGCAATACTCCAAATTCTTGAATAGAAATCCATCAAAAACCAGATTCAAGTCTCTAGCAGAACTGGTATGCTTATGGCTTACATGCCAGCATTTCTTGCTAGTATTGTTTCTCTTGGGATCTTCCCCAGGGATAATCTCAGGTTTTTTCTGCTCAAATCCACTCTAACCTTCCATTTCCTCAAAATAATACTTGAGGTAATCAATCTCTCTCCCTCCCTATTTGACAGAAAAAGATAAGCCATGATGTTAATCATAAAATGTTTTTGTTCACCAGGTGCTATTCCTTCACAGATACAGTGGAGGGATGGAAGTTGAGTCTGATTCCTATCACTCAGTTATTTCACTTCCACTGTGGTCATGCTCTACACTCAACACCTAACACAAGGACTCCCAGAGCCAGAAATTGACTTGAGGTATCCAGGGATTGCATTGTTTCTAACAGGAATCAGTGGCATTGGCAATCTCTACCAACATTGTCTACTTCCAAAACTGAGAAGCAAAAGTGACAAAGAATACAAGGTTCCCAATGGAGGCTTATTTGACCTAGTGATTTGCCGTCACTATCTTTTTGAAATTCTTGGGTTTTTGGGGATATCTCTCATAGCTCAAAAAGTCTATGCCTTCTCTTTCACCAGTGGATCAATTCTTTACCTTATGGGGAGGAGTTATGGCCAGGAGATGGTACCTTTCACAGTTTAAAGATTTTCCCAATGATGTAATGGCTCTCATTCCTTACATTTTCTGAATGTTTGAAGCATAGAATTGTTGTCCAGAAGTTTCAGTTTGGACTAATTGGTTAGTTTTTGAAACCGAAAGGACTATTAAATTTTTCTAAAAATTTGAAGGACTAATTTATGATTTACTTCCGTACCAAATGGGTTAAAAAGGATGTCACTCCACTTATAAGTTTGCGTCCTAAAATAAATAAAAGGAAAGATACCACCCGGTTTTTTTGGCTCAAAAATAATGTTATTCTTATATAATTATTTTACAATTTTTCTCATCAAATAGTATCAACCACTAGATATCTATATATATATTTTTTATAATAAATAAGTGAATTTCGTTAGTAAGTCATATTTTTCAACAAGTGAAATAATGCTTTTTTTTTTCTTTTGGTTCGACAACATCAAGATTTTATTGTTCTTAACTATTGATTTACTTGTAAATTATATAGATTTGTTTCCATATTTTCCTCATTGTATTTCTATATAAAGCTTATACGATATTGCATGTATTCATACCAATTAATCAATAAAACTCCTATTTTTCTACACAAAAACTTATGCATTTAAGTAGAATATGTAATCTTATCCTCTTCTTAGTTCTAATAATCTTATCTAAATTCTAGATACAACCTTTCCTTTTACATTTTTTAATAAATTATAAATTAGTTCTTTTAATTTTGAGAAACAAATTAATCAGCCTTTCTTGTTTTAAAAACTAATAATTTAATCTCTATATTTTTAATTTTTTTGTTACTTAATCCTTTTTGTTCTTATTCAATTTATTTTGATTTTTTATTTAAAAAAAATTAAGAAGTAAGAACTATGAAATTATTGAATGAGAAAAAAGATTTATAAAAATAAATTAATATTAAATGAAGAGTAGCCATCACTAATCAAATGCTTAAATAATTAACTTTTGAAACATAATGGACTAATTTATAATTTATTCATTTTTTCCATTTACAGATTCTATATTATAAATATTTCTATTTATGTATATATGGAAGTGATTTTCTTTCCTAGCTTAGAAATATTTTCTGCCAAATCATTCTGCGTTAAACTTGTATAGATGCATTGCTTTTCCATGGAAAAAAAAAAATATGAGGCTTCCAAAACTTTGATAATCCACAAATCGAAAACATTTTCCTTGTACCTTGTCAACCACATGTTTCACTGGTCTATAATGTCTTGACATTTAATGCCTAGACATCCTGCCTAACGTGTCTGTTTCTTCTTCAACCTATTAGCTAAAGTTGTTCAAAACTGCAGAGAAAACAGAAGGGGGGAAAATGGAGTCCATGTTGCTGAAACTTCTCTTTCCGTCTCCTTTCCTTGTCAAAGCAATGTCTGTGGTTTCTTCTGCGTCATTAGGATATGTTGGGCTTTCAGAGGTTAGAGGAAAGCACATGAAATACTCCAAATTCTTGAATGTTGATGAAAAGAAGCCCATCAAAGAGAAGATTCGAGTCTCTAGTAGAACTGGCATGCTTATGGCTTACACACCACCATTTCTTGTTGGTGCTGCTTCCTTTGGGCTGTTCCCAAATGAAGATCTCAGGTTTTTGTTGGTCAAATCCACTCTAACCTTCCATTTCTTCAAAAGAATACTTGAGGTAAGTAATCTCTCTCAGTCTCTAGCTAATCCCTATCTGTGTACTGTCCAGTATGATCTATTTTAACCCTTTTATTTAGATATGGTATGAAAATAAACCTTGTACTGTTGAATGTCGGAACAAACCAAACATTCCATCTAACCTCTGTTAAACACGTGTCATCATATTGGTCAGACGTTGGATGACATAATTGGTTTGTTCTAAGATTCAGTAGAATTTGTTTTGTATCATATCTTGATAGAGATGAATTTCAACGATCAAAGAGCATAAGCTATGAAATGACCAAGAAATGTTTTTTGTTGAATAGGTGCTGTATGTTCACAGCTACAGTGGAGGGATGGAAGTTGAGTCTTTGATTCCTATCACTCTCAGTTATTTCACGGCCGCTGTGTTTGTCATCTATGCCCAAAACCTGGCACAAGGACTACCAGCGCCAGCTATTGATTTGATGTATCCAGGGCTTTTGTTGTTTCTGATAGGAATCAGTGGCAACTTCTACCACCATTGCATCCTTTCAAAACTGAGAAGCACGAGTGAAAAAGGTTACAAGATTCCCAAGGGAGGATTGTTTGACCTAGTGATTTGCCCTCACTATCTGTTCGAGATTCTTGGGATTTTGGGAATCGCTCTCACAGCTCAAACATTGTATGCCTTTGCTTTCTTTGTTGGATCAACTCTTTACCTGATGGGGAGGAGTTATGCCACTAGGAAATGGTACCTTTCACAGTTCCCAGGTTTTCCCAAGGATGTAAAGTCTCTCATTCCTTTTGTATTTTGAACCTAAGTAGAAGAATCGGAATGAAAAATAAAGAATTAAAATACGTCTTAATTTTAATAGTGTTTGAAATAGTACCATAAGAATAAAACTTTCACTTTCCTTCCCATCAATCCAGCACTCTCAGAAATGTCCATCGAAACCATGGGAAGATCTTCTCAGCAATACAAACCATGCTCTAATGGGACATAATTTCTATACTTTATTGCATCTTGTCTCTACTATCAAACAATACATTCCATAATGTGTCCAAACCAAACCCTTTAAGACAAAAAGGCATTCGAACAGTAATGGAGTAACTACTTACTTTTCAGGGATTTGTGCCCTTTATCCTCCTTATCAAGCTTTTCCAAAAACATGCAAGTTTTGAATCAAGTAACAAATGGACAAGCTAACCACAAACTACTTGGCAGTGGGATTATCTCAACAAAATTAACGATTTCCCCATTGTGAATTGAAAGATCTACAGAGGAAAAACTAGAGTGTACACATGGAAATGCAATTCCAGATTACTAAAATCACAAGCAAAGAAAGACAAATCCATTGTCACAGCTGTCAGTTGGATGTAGGAGAAGATCCATAGGAATTTCGGAGAAGGAGGGGAAAAGGTACCAGCTAAAATTTGATCCAGGAAAACCACACATGGAAGGTTTAAATCCCATATCCCAGAATCAGGACTTTATGCTGAACTAATAGGCATTGCATTAAACACAGCAAAAAAATTCAAAGCATTCTTACATATCATTCATAAATCTGGAATCCATGTCTTGATAATCAAACCATAAGCAAAAACAATGAGCACTCGCTAGCTAGTACATAACAAAACAGTCCTGATTGATTACCACCAAAATCAAGATGAGAATCTTGTAGCCAAATAGTAAGAGGCTCGTCAACGGAGTCTCCTAGCTTCTCTCTCAGACTCAAGCAAGGTAAGAATGTCACCTTCTCTGACTGGTCCCTTGACATTCCTCATGATGAAACGGTTCTGGTCATCAATAAACTTAACTCTAACCTGAGTGACCTGTCCTCGAGATCCAGTCCTTCCCATAATTTTCACCACAACAGCATGCTTAATTTGACTATCCATTCTACACAAAAACACAGCAAACGACAAACTCAGTCTCATCCAATCAAAGCATATATGTAGCTTAAATAGCAATCACCAAATTTCCAACACAAATAGACAAAATACAAAGAATCCAGTCCTTCCCATAATTTTCACCACAACAGCATGCTTAATTTGACTATCCATTCTACACAAAAACACAGCAAACGACAAACTCAGTCTCATCCAATCAAAGCATATATGTAGCTTAAATAGCAATCACCAAATTTCCAACACAAATAGACAAAATACAAAGAAAACCCATTTGAGAAAAATGTAGATCAGATAATAAACTTCTCAACTAACAGAACCAGCTGAAAACCCAAAAACCACAGAGACCAAACCCTAAAAAGCAAAAACACATACTGCATAATAAGAGAAACCAATCAAATCATAAAAGAAGTTAAATTTTTGCATAGAATTCCCAATTCTAATAACTAAACTAAACCAAAGTCACTGGAGCAAAACTATATAAAGAAAACCCATCTGACAAAAACCAGAATCAGATAATAAAGTTATAAACTTGAAGCACAAAACAAAAAACAAACAAGAACCACCAAAAAAAAAAAAAAACAAACAAACAAACTTTCCAGGCAAAGACTAACACACTGCTTTTCAATAAACAAGTCAATGAAATCCCAAAATGAGTTTAACCAGTAAACACCAAATCACTAATCCATTGGCTAAAATAAAGCCCCTTAAAGAAACTAAGAATCGAATACTAAAGATCAATCCCTAAATATAACAATGAAGAACCAAAACTACAAAGACCAAACTTTACAAGCTAAGCTAAAGTTTAGAGTACCTGAAAGAGCTAAAGATGCAGAAGCGGCTGCCGCTGCTGCTGGGTTCTCACACTCACCAAAATAAGAGAAACGAAAAACCCTAAAGAGAGTTTTTAACTAATTACGAATCACCCATTCCCTTAAAATCGGGTACCCAAATTGGTTTATGCAATTCGGGTTTTTTTTTTTACTTGTCCTTTCTGGTTTGATAGTATTCTTGGGCTCAATGAGCAAATAATGTTAGGCCTAATAAAACTGCTACTGAGCTGGCCCATTAGGTAAAAGTAATCTTCATTGCTATTGGGCTCACTAGTAAAATATGCAAGATTTTCTTAATATGAAGACAATCACTTCTTGGCCTAGAGACAACGCCAGTAATCAATTCAGTTCTTGATTCGTTGAGAGAAAAAGGAGGAGGTAAAGGGTTGTAAACTGTATATCTGTCATGTCTTGCTATTTGAATTTTGTATTAATAGAATTTTCATGTTTTCTTGCTCAATGAATGTTCTTTCTAAAGCTAAAGAATTGTTGGAAGTGATTTCTATAATGAATGTGTATGTAGTATGGTTAGTTTTGGTGAAGTAGGAAATTTCTTTGGGACCAACTGGGGAATTGTTTAAAGAACATTACATTGTGTGAGATTTTGTTAGTACCAGATAGGAATGATGCCATTTTTTAGCTTAAATTTGTGTTATGGCTTGGCTAAAGGGTGTTACTTGTGTTGTGTTACTCTCAGTATTACCATTATCTTGGTTCTTATTCATCGTATTGTAGTTGTTTATGATGAAGACACTTTGATTTTGGTCTTGATGGTGGTTTTGATCCCAAGAAATTTGCTTATGCTTAGAGTAGGGTGTTTTTTTTTTTTTTTTTTAAATATGAAATTCTCATTTTACTAATTTTGTAGCTGTTTTTGATTTTCAGAGTTGATTATGGATCGGCTTGATGGATCTGCGCGTCTCATGATAGTATCGGATCTTGATTTTACCATGGTAGAACTGTTAGCTGCTTTTTGATAGTTTCCATAGTGTCATCCTATGGCTGTTTTAGTCATGTAGTGGATTTTGATGCAGGTGGATCATCTTGATCTTGACAACCTAGCTCTTTTTAGATTCAATGCTCTATGGGAAGCCTATTATCGCCAAGATTCTCTGCTAGTTTTCTCCTCTGGAAGGTCACCCACAATTTATAAACAGTTGAGGAATCAGAAACCCTTGTTGACCCCAGATATAGCTATAATGTCTGTTGGAACTGAAATTATGTATGGTGAATCAATGATAAGAGATGAAGGCTGGGAACAGTATTTAAATCAGAATTGGAGCAGGGAAATAGTCACAGAGGAAACAGCCAAGTTTCCGGAACTTACTCCTCAGGTATGTTGTTTAGCCAAATTGACTATAAGAGAGTACTAGATTTTAATATTATGGTTATTACATGGAGAAGAGCAGAACATTTAGAGATTATATTATGATGATACTGGATTGTGCATTCTGGGTTCTAATATACTGAATGCAATGGGTCGTTGCAGTCTGAAACAGAACAACGGCCTCACAAGGTGAGCTTTTTTGTGGAGAAGATTAAAGCCTTGAAAGTTATAAGGTCTCTATCAGAACGTCTAGAGAAGCATGGGGTAAGTTGTATTTCTCCATTTCTATGTGAATAAATTTGTTTTGTTTACCATTAATATTCTTTTTTTCCCCCTCATATTCATTCTTGATCTCTTCTTGGCCAGTTAGATGTGAAACTGATATACAGTAATGAGACAGCTTTGGATGTATTACCGAAAGGTGCTGGCAAAGGACAAGCTCTTGCTTATTTGCTTGAAAAATTTAAAGTTGATGGAAAGATGCCTGTTAACACTCTTGTCTGTGGTGACTCTGGTAATGATGCTGAACTCTTTAGCATTCCTGAAGTATATGGTGTGATGGTTAGTATCCTCCTAAGTTTTGCAATTTGCTACTCTTACTATTCTTTTTCATGTCATCATGGCTATAGAATTAAAAGTTCTGATATATGTGACAATTATATTTTTAATATGTAGGTCAGCAATGCACAGGAGGAATTGTTGCAATGGCATGCAGAAAATGCAAAGAACAATCCGAATATAATTCATGCAACAGAGAGATGTGCAGCTGGGATCATACAAGCCATAGGTAATTTTAGTCTGGGTCCAAATGTTTCTCCACGAGATATTCGAGACTTTCAGAAATGCAAAGTGGAAATTTTCAATACTGGTCATGAAGTTGTGAAGTTTTATTTGTTTTACGAGAGATGGAGATGTGCAGAAGTTGCAAACTCTGAGGATTACATACAAAATTTAAAGTTAGTATTTGTAAGTTTAATATGATTACTTCTTCTTTACAATTGAAATTCAAGTAACATCTGCATCCATTATGCATTCTTTAGAAGCAGAATGTTTCAGTAAATTTAAGGACATTCTTTGAGTTGAAGTGCAATTAAAAGTTGTGGGAACCATCAAAAAAAGGATCCTGGGGTGAAGTGGTGTTAGAAGACCTGAACTTTGGTTAGCAACCTTCTTTTGTTAGAAAAGTGTAGCCACAGAGGATGTTTTTGTGGGGTATCAGAGGGTAAGATATGACTTTGTAGGGTTGAGTCTTAAGTTCCTAATGGTGTAATCAATTTACACCACTTGAATCCATATCAAAGAAATGCATTTAATGTTCAGTTGTTGTTCCTGGCTTTACATATTTAACAAATTTGCTATTGCAACTTTAGTTTTGTCACCTGAATTTTGTGAGTGCTTCAACTTTTGCTTGATGGTGCCTTCTTTTTCTGGCTTTACCCTTTCCTTTTCGTTTTTCCCTTGTAGAAGCTGCCTTTTCATTTCATTCTTGCAAATTACTGACAGTTTCTTACTGTGTTTCCTTTGCTCCTCAGTTTCCCCTGGGTACTTTTGTGCATCCCTCAGGAGTTGAGCAACCTGTCAGCCATTGCATAGATCTAATGGCAAAGTTGTATGGGGACAAGCAAGGAACCGATTACCGCATATGGGTTGATCGTGTTTCTTCAGCACAAATTGGTTCAGACACATGGCTTGTGAAGTTTCATAAATGGGAGTCATTTGGTGAGATTTATTTGCTATTCTCTGACGTTTACCTTTTTCATGATCTCCAACCTGTACTACCTTTCATGTTTTGTAGTATCTATACCTCTCTATGAATTGATTTTGTGGGTCTTTACCATGTTAGTTTCTTTCATCTTCTTCTGGTTTCCTACAGCATTTGCATCGACATATGACCATGGCTAAATTACATTTACAGGGGAGGAGCGGCATTGCTGTTTGACCACCGTCTTGCTGAGTTCAAAGGTAGAACTGTTTTCTGGCCCTCTCTGTATTTCAAGTATCATTTTCCTTACTGTCTGCTGGTTTCATCATGGAAGCCTTATCCTAATAGTCTAATAGTTAATTTATGGTGGGTTTTTGGGGCAGGCCAAGGTACTAGATGGCTTCACATGGGTGCACATGCATCAGACATGGCTAGAAGGTTCAGAACCAAAAGATCAAGCAAACTGGTTTTTCTAGGTTTTAAACAAGGTGGTTTTTATTTGTTCTGACCCAATGTGTTACTCATTTTAGTCATTTCCTGTTTATTCAAAGGCTTTTCCAGTTAGGAGATGTGCAAAATTTAGCTATTTATAGACTGCAAAAGGTTAAACTAATCTATCAAAAGATTATTAATTGTTCCTTGTGAGGATAGAATGAATACATTCATTTTGAAGGCTCATTATTTGTGCCCTATGAGGTAAATAAAAAGAATAGTGTTTAGACTATTAGGGTTTACCTTATTATTAATTTGCAAAAGTAAATATTAACTTTTACCTCCCAGCTGTCTAAATTGGGATAAGTTGTAAAATATAACCCAACCCTTATTCTTTAGGTGGAGATACTAATCTGTTTTTGAAAACGTGACCAAATCTCTCCAGCTCCCTAGATTCCTTGCCTGACAAAAATTTATGGAATAGCCCCAACCTTAAGCCCTAGTTTATGGTCCAAAAGTGTAGGATAAATAATTTTTCATGCCTGGATGTCTCATTTTGGTTCAGCTCTTATTCTGTAGGGTTATTCTTTTAGTTCTTGAAAATGTGACCAAATCTCTTCCAGCTCAGTAGATTCCTAGCCTAACATAATTGTATGGAATAGCCCAAATCTTGGGTTTATTCTGCTTATTTATATTCATCTTTTTACACATAAGAGCTTAGGGTTTCATTAGGATAGTAAAATAGACATGTACAAGTTCTTGCAATGCTCAACATTATGCATTCTGTTTTTTTACTACCTCTGTTTTTATTGTGCGCATGGAGTAAATTATAAATTAGTCCCTGTGGTTTAAAGAAATAAATTAATTAGTCCTTGTTTCAGTAACTAATTATTTAGTCTTTTGACCAATATTGACCATATTTAATTTAATATTATTTTATTTCAGAAAAAGTCTTCTTTCCTCGTCAATCTTTCAACATTATCTTTTTATTTTTTTATTTATTATTTTTTAAACCAAATTAAAAAAAAAAAGTAAAATGGACAAAAAATGACTCAATAATTAGTTTTTGAAACAAGAAGAGACTAATTAACTTGTTTTACAAAACTAAAGGGACTAATTTATAATTTTTACTCTGATTTTATGAGCTGTTGCTTAAGTACAAAAAAAAAAAAAAAAAAAAGAAGAAGAAAGAAAGAAAGAAAGAAAGAAAAAGGAAAAAGAAAAAAGCAAAGGTAGCATTGTGAAAATTGAACCATTATTGGTGATTTTAAGGATGGTAAAGCATTTAAGGACATAACTCTAATTCTCGCTTTCTCCTTTAGCTCACAACCTTTTCTTTAAAACTGCAAGTTGGTGGTGGCCTGGCTGGCTTTCATTAGTTTCTGCTTTCTACATTACCAGAAACAAATGGCTGGACATCATTCCCTCTGTATACTCCATCCCTCTCTTGGTTTCTTACTTTGCTTCATCCTCATCCATTCTTCTCTTGCAGCCATTAATGAACCAACTGAGCTAGTGGACAAGGTCTGCAACCAGACATCAAACTATACTTTCTGTCTTGAATCTCTTTATTCTGACTCACGAACCCCAGATGCTGATCCCTACACACTGGCCTTCATCTCCTTTGGATTAGCCTACACCAATGCAAGCAACACCAGAGACTTCATAGCTGAGCTACTCAAGAACACTTCTAGTCAAGATGACCGTCACCATCTAAAACGATGCGGCCATGATTATCAGAAGGCAGTCTCTGCTCTAGAAGAGGCCTACGATGACTTGAACTCAGAGACCTTTTTTGAGTTGGCTAAATTGGCAGGTCATGCTTCGAAAGCTTCTGATCATTGCCAGGCTGCTTTTAAGGGAACCTCTTCACCACCTCTAGCAAGGAGAAACCATGATTTGAAAAGTCTTTGTGAAATTGGTGCCATCATTGCTAAGCTCTTTACTGGATCCTCATGATCATGCTATTATTTCTCCTAGAAGCCATATAAAGTTTTTAGTTTTTCATATAAATAACTCAATCTATCGTTATATCATAAGGTAATTCTTTGATCTGTTTTTATATCTTTAATTAAGTTTAATTGAAGTTTTCAATTTATCAAGATTTTTGTTCATATTTGTTTCCAAACTATCCTCGCAAGAAGTCAAATGGAAAGCTTTAATAATTTTAGTAATTGTGTTTGAAAATCTTGCGAAAAATAGATTAAACACTAAACGTAAATTTAAGAATAAAATTTGTTTAACTAGAGATATAAAGATAGATTGGAATATTACTGTATTATATAAGCACAAATTGAGCCATTAATCCGACATTTTTTCTACGATCCTCATCAATCAAGTACCTATACTTCATTTTTGTTAATCAATCAGTCCTAATAAGCATCTTTTGGTGGTTGCTACATCCTTTGATTAAAAGAATGTAAAAGATAGAAATTTAAGAAAGAACATGGAGGAAGAAGAATAGGGATGGAATGCACATTGTTTTGATCGTCATTTTGGTTGCATTGTGATAAAGATAGGAGGACAAGGACGTTCTTAATTTGGCTAAAGCAGTTGCTGCTTTAACTTCTTGAATCTTGACAAATCCTTGCTGCCAAACCATGTGGTCCTTCCTATATAAGCTGACAAATATTGTTTACGATTTATTTATTTGAGGTATGAATTTAGGGTCTAGGGGTGAGCCATTTGAGTTATTCAGTAATTCTGATGAATGAAAACTAGTCGTTTCTAATAATTATCTATTTTGTTTTTTATCTTTTATCCAACTTTTTCTTTTCACCTTTTGACCTAATTCGGGTAATTATTTTTTTAAATAGTAATAATATAGATATTTAATTTTTTTTTATTAAGACCGTTTTATTACTAAGACTCTAAAACAAATGGGTTCTAATTGTTCATAATTTTGTTCATCTTGTGTGTGTGTATATGTAGTAACAAAATATTTTTGTAATCCGACGATCAGGATAATTGGCTTCCACGCAAAAGACCCAAGTCGACCCAAGTTCGACTCCTGACTATTAATTTATGCTTTAATTTTTTTTTCCTGTTCATCTCTCTTTCTTTTCATGTTCCGGGTACTGTTGACTTTTTCTTTTCTTCTTTTCTTTTTTTTCCAATTTGTTTCCAGCACTGTTCACATTTTCTTTTTCTTTTTTCATTTTGTTTTGAATACATGCAACTGTTCACTTTTTTTTTTCAATTTGTTTTGAATACATGCCTTGTCTTTTTTTTCCCCCTTTGTTTTTTTCTATCAATTTAGATTTTTTTTATTTAATTTTTAAAATTTTTATATTGTTTCATTTTAGTCTTTAAAATTTTAAAATAAAAATTTTAATTCCCTAACCGATGCACTCGTTCATGCCTTTTTTTTCTTTTTTTCTTTTTATCAATTTATGTTTTTTTTTAATTAGGTGTTAAATTTTTAAAAAATCAGTTGTTACTTTTTTCCATTCAAATTGACGATTATATAATATATACGATCCTGTTAACTTCTTTTTTTTTTTTTTGTTTCCGCCACTGGGCATTTTTTTTTAAATTTTTTTTGAATATATGCGTTTTTTTCTTCCCCCTTTGTTTTTGTCCATCAATTTAGGTTCTTTTATTTTATTTTATTTTTTTTATTTTTAGATTGTTTCATTTTGGTCACTAAAATTTTAAAGTAAAAATTTTAATCCCCTAATTTAAGCATTACTCATGCCTTTTCTTTTTTTTTTCTTTTTTTTCCATCAATTTATGTTATTTTTTTTTATTTAATTAGGTGTTAAATTTTTAAAAATTCAATCGTTACTTTTTTTCACACAAACTGACAATTATATAATATATATACGATATTATTTTACATGTATACGATATTTTTTTGATTTTATTATGATATATTTTTTTGTTTCAAGTTGTTTCACTATGCATGCCTTTTCTTTTCTTTTCTTTTTTTCCTTGCTTTTTTCCATCAATTTATGTTCTTTTTTTATTTAATTTTTTTAAAAAATTTTAGGTTGTTTCATTTTGGTTTCTAAAATGTTAAAATAAAAATTTTAATCCCTTAACCGATGCACTACTCATGTCTTTTTTTTTTTTCCTTTGCTCTTTTCTTTTGCTTTTTTCCATCCATTTATGTTCTTTCTTTTATTTATTTAATTAGGCGTTAAAATTTTTACAAAATCAATTATTACTTTTTTCACACAAACCGATGATTATATGACACTACTCATGCCTTTTTTTTTCCATCAATTTATGTTCTTTTTTTATTTAATTAGGTGTTAAAATTTTGAAAAATCAATTGTTACTTTTTCTCCACGTAAATTGACAATTATATAATATATATAATATTTTTTATTTATTTATAGGATATGTTTTCAGATTTTAGAATACATATAAACTACTCTTATTGTTTAAAATTGATTTTTTAATAAAAATTCTCATCAAGTTAATTTTTATTCTTATTTTTTTATAATTTAATTTATTAATAAATATGACTCATTTTCTCTATGTATGGATTCAAATAAGTTTTTTTATACCTGTTTATACTACACTCTATTAACTTCAATATATATTTTACCATTTAATTTTTTAAAATATTTTTTAATTTATTTTATACATTCTTACCTATTGAGTACGGTCATGATATACCAAAAATGATGACATTAGAGCCATTGATTTTATTACAAATCAACTATGCATCTACACACATAATACCAACTATTTGCTATTATTTTTTAAATATTTAAAATAATTTTTTCTAAGAAAATAATAAAAATAATATTTTAAAATAATCGCCTAATAATTCAAATACAATTTTGTATATTAATATTATTCATTATTTTGTAAATCAAATGCATATATTTTTTAAAAAATAATAATCTTCTCATCAACAAAAAGGTTTCATTTGTTAATTTTCATATAAGTTTTTATATTAATTGTTGCTTTATTTTTTCGATACAATGTAATGAAAAAAATATTAAGATGTTTTTATTATGGGTTTTATATAAGAATAAATGCATAAAAAAGAAAAAACTTTATTCAAAACACACACACACACAATTTTGATTAAAAATTATAAAATTAGATGAAATTTTATCTTTTATATTTAATTTCATATATTTTAATTAACCGATAACATAGTCTATGTTGTCCAACTCGAAATAAATATGTTTAGCTCGGTACGTAGTGTAGCGCAAGAATCTGAATTATTCATATATCTAAAATTTCTATTTACTTACTATTAATATGTATAAAATTACTACTCACTTTATGCCAATTTAAGTCATTTTTATGTGCCGTTTTTTGTGTGTTTTGGGTCATTAATATACAAATTCAACTCATGCTTTAAATTATTACAAGTTTTTATCTAAGAATCCTTGAATATAGAAGAATAAATCATGTTTTTTTAAAAGCAAAAATCTTATGAAAAACACAGAAAAAAAAGCAATAATTAAATACAAAAATTATAAAATTTTGGAATAATTTTGTTCTATTTGCCAACGAGTGTTCCACGAATAATTTCAAAAGTTAATCTTCTCATGACCATTAAATAAGAATTTTTTTTCATTTTTTAATTTTATAAAAGTCCGACCATTAATTATAACTTTATTTCTTGAAATATAATATCATGAAAACTATGTTTTTAAATTTTTTAATTCTTGATTAATATTTTATTTAAAATTATTATAATTTTTTATTTTAAAATCAATCAATAAAGAAGAATAATTTATGTTTTTTTAAGAAAAAAATTTATGAAAGACATTAAAAAAATTAATTAAATAAAAACTTATAATTAAGAATTATAAATTTATAAAATAATTTTGTTTTATCGAATCCGCAGTGTAACGCGAGCGCAAGCAACTAGCTAGTGTCTTACTAAATCATATAACAATATATGACCAGTGAGTTTTTAATTAATTCATTATATAATAATCATTTCATCACTATACAGAATAAGATTTTTTAAAACATTTAAGCACCTCGAGCATACCAAAGAGCTTGCAACTGACAAAATTTGTTACACGAATTTGTAATTCGGGTTTTTTTTTTTTTTTTTTTTCAAACTGTCCTCCACTTGGTTTGAAGGTATTCTTGGGCTCAGTGTGCAATTAACGTTAGGCCCAAGAAAACAGTTACTGGGCTAACCGGGAAAATGTAATCTTTATTGCTATTGGGCTCACTAGTAAAATGTAACATTCAAATGTATCCATTTACCAGGTTGCGGAGTAAATCAAAAATTAATCCCTCTTGTTTTGAGAGACGAACTAATTAGTCCCTCCTGTTTTAAAAACTAATTATTTAGTCTCTATGCCCTCAAAATTTCTTGTAACTAAGTCATTTTCTTTATTTTTATTCCTTTTCAATTTATTTTGATTTTTTATTTTAAGATATAAACAATAAGTAAAAAATATGAAAAGATTGATAGGAATTTTTTAAAATAAAATAATATTAAATTAACCATAATCAAAAGACTAATTTATTAGTTTTTGAAACAAGAGAAATTATTTAATTTATTTTTGCAAAACTAGAGGGGCTCATTTATAATTTACTCCAAATATCCATTTTGTCATCGTTCATAAAAAAGAAAAAGGGGAAAAAAAAAAAAACCCACTCCATTCTGTTACAACTAATCAAAAAGCTGAAAACGTATTGGACACATGAAGGGAATTAACCTAGGACTTGGGAAGAATTTCAGAATAATCGATCAAGGTTTCAATGTTCATCTTTACTACATTTGAAAGAATAAGTTGAAATCTAAGAACAAGAATTGAAAATGCTGCTAGCCTTCCATGCTATAATTCAATGGGATTTCTCTAATGCTGGCAATTAACCTATCAAATTTTGAAAATTTCGCTAAGCACAGAACCCTGGTAAAGAAATCGTAAAGGTGGATGAGAGAGACCTACTCTATCGGTCGCAAAAATAAATTGCATGTGGTAGCTCAGGTGAAAAGCATACCTATGAAACACAAACTGAAAATTACAGAAACCACGAGAAAGAGTGCATATGGCCTCCCAATAACTCCAGCTGAGGTTTTCCTGCTGACAAACGACATGGAGGGTGTTAATAGGTTTCTGTGCAAAAACCAGCTTCTTTTATTGAATTAAAACCATCAACAAGGAATGCTACAGATATTCAAGAAGTATTAGTAATTAGTCAAACCACAGTGAAAAATTATGGAGTGGTCTCTGAATTCCTAAGTAGAGGAACCAAAATGCCAGGAAATACTTCATAGACTTGAATAAAACACACCATCCACAAACTGAACAAGGGATATGGGGAAAAAAGAAAATGAAGAACCGGCAAATTCCTTCTTTTCTTGTGCTCGATAATAAAAGCTACTAGTCTCAAAGAAAGTAGATGGAAGTTCGTAATAATACTGTAACAGAGATCAATATTTGAAAACAAGTTAAGACTTGCCTTGCCACAAAGCCTGGAGCTGACTTGGTCTTCAGACCAAAGTCGAAGGGGAAGAGTGGATCATAATGAGGATCCCCAACATTCATTGGTAGCTGGCCCACATTTTTAAACCATGTTCTTGGAAGTTTTCCAGTGAATCCATTGTCTCCAAAAAGGACATCAGTCACACCTTGGCCTTCAGTGCCAGGTAACCATGCTGCTACCAAGGCATCAATTGAGGAAAGATATGGTTCAATGACGATTGGCCTGCCAGAAATGACGACAACAACACACTTGACTGTCTTGCAGACATTGCTGATCACACTGGGACCTGGATCTATCATTGTGAGGTCCATGCTGTCTCCTGCAGTCTCAGCATAAGGGGGCTCACCCACAACAACAATGGCATAAGCAAAGTTATTATCCTTAATAAAGTTGCCATCAGGATTCTCTTGGAACACGACTTCTGTGCTTGGATCAACAGCAGATTTTATGGCACCAAGGATGGTGGTTCCTATCATGAAAAGGAAGTGTTAAATTTATTGTTATCGCCACACAGAATGATACTCTAGACCTTTGTAGATTAGCAGTGTTTCCAGTCTTTAAAGAGATTCTTAAGTAAAGCACTCCCACCTATCTAAATGCTTTGGATGATGGTTCCTATCATGAAAAGGAAGTGTCAAATTTATTGTTATCACCACACAGAATGATACTCTAGACCATTTTAGATTAGCAGTGTTTCCAGTCTTTAAAGAGATTCTTAAGTAAACCACTCCCACCTATCTAAATGCTTTGGAGGATATCCTAAGACTTCAGTTAAAATGTTTGACATGTGCCATATCATAATTACAATTTTCAAAGAAAAAGGTGCGAAAATATACCCCACCTCTCCCCACTGTAAAGAAAAACGAGATTCGGAACAAAATGTAATAGTGAACTCCTTTCACATCCCCTTGTAGAAGATTCTATAAAACAGCATTAGTTTAAAATTATTATAACAAAAGCTTAACAGCAATCCTAACTTATTGGCACCACTTTTGCATCAAATAATTCCAAAGAAGCTTCAGCCATGTTATGGGTAAATGATAAAAGACAGTTCTACATCTACTTTAAGGGAATACAGTATTTAAGCATATTGACAAAGCATACCCCTTGTATATTCGTTGCCACTAAATCCCTGCCATGCAATTGTCCACCCGCCACATTGATAGCCCAAATTATCAGCATGTGTACCAGCTACTAGAATCTTAGAAGCCTTCTTGGTAAGAGGAAGTAAAGGATCAGTTTCATTTTTTCCATTTTTCAGCAGCACAAGTGATTTCCTCACCGCTTCCCTTGCCAAGTCTCTATGAGCCTGGATAAGTAAAAAGGATGTTCATCATTCATGGCATTAGTATTCTCCACTGTAAAATCATTTTCAACATATCAATCTAGTGAAAAGACAAGGGAGACACTATCTGGAATTTAAGCAAGGTGACTCATGCAAGAAAAAGAAGATACATGTCACCTGGAAGTGCAAGAGAGAGCTTGCTTGCATGTCTTACCTTATCCAGAAGCATTGAGTGTCAAATTAATAAATTAAAAGGCCAATGAATGCTTTACTGACCTGGCTTCCAAGCTCATTAACAAGGCTAAAATCAGCTAAAGGGTTTTCAAAGAGACCCAAGCTGAACTTGACTAGCAAAATCCGCCTCACAGCATCATCAATGCGATCCATAGGGATGACATTGCTCTTGACTAGATAAGTAAGATCGTCAATGAACTCACTGTGGTTGAAAGGGAGCATGACCTGAAAGACAGAAAACCAGGACTCCAAGTTTCAGAATTATTCACTCAGCTATTTTTGCATGGCAGAGAAGAGTTCACGTGAATTCAATCTCAAATGACATTGCCGTAACATAAGCTGCTAACCATGTCAATGCCAGCTTGAATCGCAGCTTGTACAGAGTATGAGTAATTTGCATGTGGCGGTGAAGTGATCCTGTCGATACCCTGCCAATCTGAGATAACAAAACCCTGAAAGTTGAACAAGACAGCAAGGGGAGTTAGCCTGGAAACCAAAGGTCACTTTCATAATCCGGAATAAATCAAACATGATGCTTTTAATTGAAGGTTGCCCAGGGCATCATTGAAAGAAGAATGAACAAACAGTGCATGTCGCAATGGCATGCACTAGATCACGATATGCCTACTATTAACTAAGGGAGTAAGTGATGGCTAACCATGCTTTTTCATAAAGAATGCTGGGCAGTTAACAGATGACTTGCTCAATAATGAGGGCACAAAATGAAGAAATATTATGGAAAGAAAAAAATATAAATATGCCAGAAAATGAGGCCAAGCATCGGCATAAAAAGAATAAAATTAGGAATTGTTAATTTCATTGAAGCCAGAACAACACTGCATTAGCACAAGTGCATTCACATTTAAGCCATAAAAAGACATAACATCATATAAAAGGTTCAAAGACTTGATGGCTATATATGTTTGCTGGAGGAGACTTCGAGACAAAGCTAGCTTATGCAATGGGGAGGAATTAAGTTTTCGTTAAGCTGGGAAATACTAAGAAGAATCATGTCAAAAGTAGAGGTTTCGCATGGTGCATTATTAAAATCTTTGATAGGCATGGGAAGCAGAAGGTTCCAATAATTGCAGTCAAATCCTTGTTTATATGCAATAAAATATAATTTTGCACTATTCATAAGTGTGAATGCAGACACTTATTTACAAAACTAACAACAAAAAGAAAGTTATGAACGAGCATTGCAATTGAAATGTGAACTTGACCTTAAACTTGAGGCTGTCCTTGAGAAGGCCAGTTATTAGCTCACGATTTGCATGCATCTTTTCCCCATTCCAACTGGAATAGGAAACCATAATCGTTGAAACACCCTTGATAATTGAATCAGAATAGGCAGGCATGTGGATGCCCAACAACCCATGCCTGTCAATAACTGTGTTGTTCTCATTGATACCCTTGGTTGTCCCACCATCACCCACAAAGTGCTTTGCACAAGCTGCAACCTTTTTCCTACAAAAACAGAGAAGTCAAACAGAAAAATTATCAAAAGGACAACAAAAACAACAAAATCAAAAGCCTGTTTATAACAGTTGAGCAAATATGCAGGTTGCAACAAGCAGAGCAACAGTAGAGATCAGGCAGAAAAAAGGAGGGGATGGACTGCTTTGTAAAGCGGTCTGGTTCAGTCTTGTAGAATAACATCAGTTAAACACTGCAGTTGCTGAGCATTAGTTTACATCGGTGCTGTTACTAAAATACTAAGGAGCAGGGCATGGATATGCTAATTCATTGGGATATCAGAAGTTGAAATGTGGCAAAACTGGCGATTTGAAGGTTGCCAGTAAAGCCTATTTATGAAGGATGTTTAGACTTCAGAAGGTCCATACTTCCCACCAACATATGGAACTCCCTTCCGAGAATTAGCTGGAATGTCGCCTTGTAAACCAAGTATGATCTCAGTCATTGCTTCCACAACTTTGTGATCCTCACTGTAGCTTTCATAGCACCGACCCCACCTTGGATCTCTGCAAACCTTCAGAGCAGATATATTGAAAAATAAGTAAGTTAATATGGAAAATACGTGGAAGCCATTCGCTTATTCACATATATGATATCTAGTAAAAGATGTAAGAACTGATTTTGCAGTATGCTATTTACCGCAATACATGGAGCAAAGACATAAGGAATTCCTGTGGCTCTAACTTCAAGAGCAGTTGCACTTCCAATTCTCTTCACCAGATCAGGATCCCTATTTATAAGAAGTCCAATAAAATATAAATTCAATGTATGGGCTCACACGAAAATAAAAAAAAAAATAAAAATGGAAGGGTGCTTTCTCGGTAAAGAAAAATTGACTAAATATCGATTGATGCAAAGACCATTAGACTTTAGGATCGGTTAAGTTAAACCAGACTAATCGAAACCTATGTGAGAACACCACAAGTTTTACTGTAGATTACTTTGCTCATTTGCAAGAATGCAATGGATTTATCAACCAATACATATTGAATTTAACATGTATAATTTCATTAGCACTTATTACCAAACAAAGAGAGAGAAAGCAAAAGACTTCTTTTACATGAATCATACACTAAAATATATTATCTGAAATTAATGCTACAAGCAGTTTGTGAAATCCATAATTCTGAAGCACAATTTTTTTGCTGAGAGAGAATGAATACACAACGTAAAGTTTATACTTGCCTGGTAGCTCCAAGCCCAACATTGTGAGGAAAGATTGTAGCATTAAAGACATTATTATGCCCATGAACAGCGTCAATACCATAAATCATTGGTATCCCCAACCGGCTAGACAACGACCCATTCTGAAACCCATTTATCATATTAACCCAATCTTCAGCACTAGCCTTAGGAAGCGGTGCACTCCCACCTCCACTCAACACACTACCTGCACACAATCACTTCCTTTTAATACCCTCCCATCAAACAGCACCATTACAAAACCAGCAATGTTAGTGACAGTCGCTCCTGACGCTCGTGCACTCATCTCCAGGCACAAGGCCTACAATGTGTGATTTCGTAGCTCTTAAAGTTACTATGATTAGCACCTCTCTTAAAAAAATTAACACACAGTAAAGAAAACAGAGGAATTTTAGAAATTACCAATGGAGTAAGTCTGCATAATCTCAGGAGAGGCTGTCAACCTATCGATTTGAACCATTTGAGCGATCTTCTCTTCGAGAGTCATTCTACTCATCAAGTCCTTAATCCGAACCGCTACCGGTTGCTTCGGGTCTTTGTATTTCACATTCTCTCCTTCTACTACCATTGCTATTAACATCATCAACCATAGTATTATCCCCATCATTTCCATCAAAATCCTAGCCGTCTTTTTAACTTTCCTACACCACAAAGACAAAAAAATCCAGCTTAGCTTCTATTTTCCTTTCTGATTTTCTCATTATATGAAACCAATAAAGAAATTAGTACGTCTAGTTTACGATCGGTTTGGCTGCCGAGAAAATGGAAAACAGAAGCATTCAGTATTTATTTTTATTTAAAAAAAAATAGAAAGATAAGCAGAACACAAATATTCAGCAATTTTCCTGCTGCAGTTTCTCAGCAACCAAACAAGCAAAGAGAGAGAGAAAATAAACTTAATGCTTAGCTTCTATGATCATTTTATTTTACTAGTAGAGCTATAATTACTTGAAGAGTGAAAAGAAACAGTATCTCATTTGCTGAACGTTTGGTTGCTAAGAAAATAAAAAGGAAACAGAAAGAAAATCAAACAATCGAGCCTCTCTGTAGTATTTTCATTTTTCACTAGTAATACAAATCACAATGCAACTATTTTCAGCATTTTAAAAAAAATTAAAAAAAGTAGAGCATTCTCCAGTTTTTCTCTGCTTTTCTTGCTGCATTTTCTCACCAACCAAACAAGCAAGGAAGGAAAAAAAGAAACACGCTCATTGTGTGCGTTAAAGAGAGAAACTTACTTGAGAAGAGAAAATGAAAAAAAAAAAATTGTCGTTTTTTGATTTTGATTTTTTTCTGGTCTCATAAAGAGGTAGTGTGCAGTTGAATGTGGAAGGGTCCTATTGTCTTTTTATTGCTTTGGGTTTGCTCGTTGTTACTGTGATGGGCGGTTACTTTTTATGGATTCTTTGAGTTAGAGTTCATTTTGGTCCTTAGCATTTTTTAATTGTTTCATTTTATTCTTATCATTTAAAAATTACAAATATTAATCCTATAATTTTGGATAGACATTGAGTGGCTTCAATTGGATATTATTACATTTCTTTATTTTTTAAATTTTTTTATAGATTTATGCGTTCATTTTTCTTTAAGATTTTTAATGAGTTTTTAAACATTATCACAAATTCACAATTCACCACCCACACTTTTCACAATTAAATTTTTAAAATGAAAAAAGGTTATTTTTTTAAAAAAATTGATAAGTAATTATTTATAATTTTTAATCTTATTTTTCATATATGTGTGTGTGCACGCATAGGCATACGCATGCGATGTTTCTTTCCAAAAACAATGTATTAATTTTAAATATTATCTTGATGATATTGTTTGGTAAGATAATTTTAGTAACAATTTGATTCTCACTTTTATGTTTAAAAGAAGAAGAAGAAGAAAATAGTATGGAATGAAAAGTTGATATTGCATCACTTGTGGTAAAATTGAAACTTTTGGTAGATGGGGATCCTGATTGAAACATATATGAGAGGATCTAAATGTAGTTTGGCCAAGGGGACGTGGGTTGGTTCTTCTTCCTCGGCAGACAGGAACGTGAAATGGGGCGTGTGTGTCTTCTTAACGGTAGATCAAAATAGGAAGCCTGATCATTTGACGGTTATTCGTGGGCCACGTTCCTTTCATTTCTGACCGTTAGTTTGTTTGACTTGTAGGCTCGTGATTGAAGCTGGATGGTCGAGAGAAACCATAGTAACTATTGGAGTAAAAAAATCTAGGTACAAATAATTAGTAATCTATAAATTAGTCAGATTTGAGAAGAATTAATTAGTTCTCAATCTTTTATGTTCATTTTATCCATTTTTCTTATTTTTTTTATTTTAAAAAAATCGATGTTATGAAAAAATTGAGATTTTTTTTAAATAAAATAATATTAAATTTAACATTAAATAGTTACTTTTAAAGAAAGAATATTAATTTATTTATTTCTCAAATTTAGAGAGACTAATTTATAATTTACTCTAAAAATACTCTTTTAAATTTTCAAGTTAAACCAAATTTAAATTAATTTTTTTTCATAAAGTAGTAATTTTTTTTTAAAAAATACAAATGTGAGTGTTCTATTTAAAATTTATGAAAAAACTAACATGATGATACTATAATTTTTAAAATGAGAATAAATACTTTAAAACATAATCATTAACCCCAAAAAAAAAAAATGATATAATCAAATGATGATTAACCCATCATAAAATTATCTAGAATTTAAGACATATAAGTAATGATTAATCCCATTAAAAAAAACAAATAAAATACATAGATTATACAATAAATTCTGATAGATTCTTATTTGACTATTAAATCAATATCTTGAGATTGTGACAGATACAATTAAAAAAACTAATAATTGACCAACTTAATAAATAAACATATATTGAAGCTGTAATTCAAATGCTTTTTTTTTTCCCAGTATGTTTATAGATAATGTAATATTTTTTAGTCAGTTTTTTATAATTGAGACTAATTAAGTCTATCATTTTTTAGGTTAAGTGAGCGGGCCATCACATTTGATTTTTGGTAGATTAAGATCCCGAGGACTAAGGATCAAGAGATCTTCAAATTAAAGAGAAATGGATGCCTATGTCAACTATGTTTTATTTCTCAAAGAATGTGGTCTCGCAGAAAGCCTCTGTGTGCAGAGAAGTTCTTGAGGAATGCATAGCTTAAGAATTAGTTCTAAAATTAAGTTTTGGAAATTGTATAAACTGTACAATCTAGTTTGATGGCTTAGTCTCAAGGCCAAAACCAAATGGGAAGAGTGGATCATAGTGTTTGTCACCAACATTCATTGGAAGCTGATCAACTCTCTTGAACCAAGTTCTAGCCAACTTGCCGGTGAATCCGTAGTCGCCGAAAAGGACATCGGCAACACCTTGGCCTTCACTTCCTGGAAGCCATGCTGCCACAAGAGCATCAACTTCTGGAACATATGGTCCGATCACAAGTGGTCTACCGGAGACGATGACTACAACACATTCGACAGCCCCGCAGACGTTTTTGATTGTCTTCGGACCAGGATGTGGGAGCGTCAGGTTCTGATTATCACCTGCTGTCTCTGCATATGGAGGCTCCCCTACAACAACAATGGCATGGGAGAAGTCTTGGGACTTGACGTATTTAGTGTCAGGATTCTCATTGAAGACTACTTTAGTGCTTGGATCCACCGCAGCTTGGATGCCTTGAAGGATGGTGGTTCCTGCTTATGAGTTATAAATTCTATCATGCATCTCTGCCTTCTGTATTTACATTTCAATATTTTGCTGTATAGGGAGGTAGTTGAGATTATTATTTACCGATAGTCAGGTTATTCCCCTCTTGTCCCTGCCATTTGATTGTCCAGCCACCACATTGATTGCCCAAATTGTCAGCATGACTTCCAGCAACTAGGATCTTGCCTGCTTTCTTAGGCAGAGGCAACACTGGTCTTTTAGCAGATTTGCCATTTTTTAACAGCACTAGGGATTTCCTCACAGCTTCCCTAGCTAGTTCTCTATGTTCCTGAAGAAAAAATAAAAACATCATCAGCCATTCTGGTCATTCACCTAGTGTTAGCTTTACGTACAATTTCAAGTGGATCCAGCTAATATTTAATTTATCAGTCAGAACTACTTGAACATTCTTAATTCAGAATCGTTTTTAGGGGAGTGGTTGATAAAAACTTAAACACTCACCTGGCTTCCGAGCTTGTCAATCAAACTGTAATCTGCAAGTGGATTTTCAAAGAGACCCATTGCGAACTTGACCCTCAAGATTCTTTTGACTGCATAATTTATGCGGTTCATGGGAATGGCGTTCTTGTTAACCAAATCGGTTAAACCATTAATAAACTCTGTGTAATTGTAAGGAAGCATAAACTGAATCACCCAAAACGTATGTCAGATATCTTCCCTTAGCTTAAATTAAGCTTTCGAGGTTAATCTCTAAATTAATAACAAAGGTCAGTAACACACCATGTCGACGCCAGCTTTAACCGACTTCAGAATAGAATAACTGTAGTTCTTATGAGGTGGGTAGGTAATCCTGTCGATTCCTTCCCAATCTGAGATGACAAAACTCTGAAAGTTCCAGACAACAAGATTACACAATGGTTCATGTTTATGGATTCAATCCCTTGATCTACAGGAATCTGTGTCTTACCCTGAACTTGAGTTTCCTCTTGAGAAAACCGGTAACCAATTTACGATTACCATGCATTTTTACGCCATTGATACTCGAGTAGGATACCATGACTGTTGCAACACCCTTATCAAGTGAATTCAAGTAAGCAGGCATATGAATGTTGTAGAGTTCATTGTCAGTAACGATGGTATTGTTTTCGTTAATCCCCTTGATCGTGCCGCCATCACCAACATAGTGCTTGGCACAAGCTGCAACCTTGTCTCTACATAGAATCCGAAAATGCAAAATATAAACTTCATCAGGAGACAGAACTGAAGAATTTGTATATGCTTGATTAAAAAAAGTTGCTTGAAAAAATGACACATTAGGCCAGACAAATAGATTCTTACTTGCCAGAAACAAAAGGGGTGCCACTTTTAAATTTGGAAGGCACATCTCCTTGCAAACCAGGGATGATTTCAGTCATCGTTTGGACAATCTTGTGGTCTTCACTGTAGCTTTCGTAACACCTGCCCCATCTTGGATCTCTACAAACCTGCATAATACAAAGAAAGATGGCCTGATAAGATTATGGAAAATTTGGCCATCTTTACACCACCACACAAATTCACCATATAGATTGTTAAATAAGGTTGCTATTTTACAGCAATGCATGGAGCAAAAGCATAAGGAATCCCAGTTGCTCGGACTTCAGCCGCAGTTGCAGCACCAATCTTCTTTACAAGAGCAGGATCCCTGGCAGATCATAGTTAAGAGGGTAAACACAAAAATTTCAGATAAGTCTTAAAAAAGACCAATAATAAGAATTAGACTACGCATCTAATAAGGCTGCATTTGCGGTTTGATTGCAAAAGTTGGCCTGAGAATTTCTTGATTGTTAACAAAAATGCTTCAAATATGATAACAAATCTGTTCCTCCTGAACTAAAATCTTGAGTGTTCTTGCCTGGTAACTCCAAGGCCAACATTATGTGGGAAAATGGTTGCCTTGTAAACATTGTTGTGGCCATGGACTGCATCAATTCCATAGATCATTGGGATGCCAAGTCGGGTTGAAAGAGACCCTTTTGGAACTCATTCACCATATCAATCCATTGTTTTGGAGAAGCCCTATCAGCTGGCACGCTTCCTCCTCCACTAAATAAACTCCCTGAAAGCACACATTCTTCTAGTTCATTCCAGTCCTCAAGAATCGTTTTCATGCAAAAGAATCATTAGGGTTTCTCAGCAATCATACCAATGTGGTATTTCCTCATGATTTAAGCAGTCACGTTAGCTCGTTCAATTTGAACCATCTGTCCAATCTTCTCTTCAAGTGTCATCCTGCCTAGCAAATCCTTGACCCTTACCTCAACTGGCTTAGTTGCATCTTTGTATAGGACGTAGTTTTTAGCTCCCATTGTAGACGACCAACAGCATAAAAATAATATCCCCAGTAAGGTATTCCATGCTTCTGCCATACTTGTTAATTTTCTAGACCAGAAAAAAAAAAAAAAAAAAAAACCAAAGATTTAAACAAATGGGAAATGAAATGCATGAGGTTTACCATGCATAATTGTAGGCAAATAATCTGATGTTTAAACATCTAATCAAATATATTAACCACAAAATCCGACCAAAATTGGCAAAATTTTCTTGAATATGGTTTAAAAATTTTGACGAAATTTCGTAACGAGACAAAACCAAATGCACCAGGCCGAAGCAAAGGAAAATATAAATAAATAAATGTTGCTATATATGTTAGAGGGAAAAACACAAATGTATAAAGAAAAAAATAATTCTTGACATATTCTTTCAAAGAGAGAAAGGAGAGAATGGGGAGGAAAAAAACTTACCAGGATTTTCGAAGAGGATTTTGGAATGAGAGAAGAGAAGGGATGGCTATATATATAGGAGAAATAGATTTACTGGATATAGTCAAATAGAATATAATTGATTTTTTAATGTTAATAGGATAAAAATTTATGACTGGAAAAGGATATTGATTACAGACCAGCCAAGGATTATTTGCTATTTAAGGAGAATGGATCTTATTTAGCAAGAAATCATGGAAATCTATAATATTTTTAATTGTAAAAATTTATGATTTTTTTTTTAAGTAAATTGAAAATTTATAGATAAATGTTTAAAGACATATAAAAAAAAACGAAGGAATGAAATATATATGGAAAGGCATTAATGAGAATGACGAAAATAAAGTAATTAAGTCAAATTGGAAGAGATTAATGGGGTTTGAAGGGATGAAAGTTTCATTTCCCATAAATTGAATAAAATCCCAATCCAAACCTAATGATTATGAAAATTAAAACATGTCATTTCTCGATCTTCTATTGTTTGATTTTTGGTTTAACTATATTTAGTGTGACCTTTTTAAGTTTTAATGGTAGTGTAGTGTACAGGGTTCAGTTTTCATAAATCCAGACCAAGTTTTTTTTTCACGTTGAGATCATCTATATTCAGATTTAGCACGGCGGCATCTTATCATTTGCAACACTAAAAAATTAAAAAAAAAAAAATCATAAGGAAAGGACAAAAAATGGCTTGCAAAATCCAACTTTAAAAAAAATATATATATATATCTTCATCCCATTCATCCCATATTAAAGATAAGACTAATCATATTTCGATAAAAGGGAAAAGATTTAACATCTTCCAAGTGCAATTTTAAGATTCAAAAACACTATATGTTAAAAAAAATTGTTTGAAATCAATTTGTTTATTACTAGATCAACAACTTGTTTTTAAACGATCATAAATTTCAAAACATCATGTTGAACATCAATGATTTAATACTATTTCTATTCCAAAAAAATTATCTATTTTTTTTATTTATATCTATCTGGTTATTTTATTTTTAGTGTCTTAAAATACTTGTCAAAACCTTATGTGGTATATTTTTCTGAAATATCATAATTAATATTGATATTATGTCATGCAAAATTGAATTTAAGGACTAACAATATAAAAAGAAGAAGAGTGTTTTAGAAAAAATATGAGAAAGACACATAAACAAAAGAGAGAATTGTATCCAGATTCACCAAAAGTAATAAAAGAATTTTTACATTCGTTTAATTTTTTAAAATTTTCTCTCTCTTTTTATGTATCTATCTTCCTCCTCAAAGTAGATATATAGAATAACTACTATATATAACACTAGTTATTTTTTGAATATTATAAAATTTCTCAAAAAAATATAATTAAAAACTGATGATATTACATAATAATTAATAAGTTTTTTAATACGAATAAAAAGGTGAAAGAGAATAACTTTTTGGAACAAAAAGAGTGAAAGGATAGTAGAAAGGACATGTATATTCTCCAATTAGCATCCGATTACCAAGTGGGTCCTAAATAAGAATAATTCCCAATTGGGTACCCCATCTATTGGACACAACACAGCCCAATTAACCCTCATGTTAAAATATTATCCTTCGAATCATAAGAATCTAGGATCCATTTGTCTTAAAACAATAATGGTTTTGTCATAATTTCTAATACTGGCAGTTAATTGGGTAATGGGAATCCAATTGGAAACCTTTTTTATTTGGGTACCCATTTGAGAATGATGTTATAGTTGGGGGACAAATTTGTTCTTTACCAATTAAATTTAAGCCAAGAAAAACCAAAGATTTGAAAATTTTGTTTCTTAGTTGGCACATAGCTTCTGCCAGCTTTATTTGATTTATAGGATGGTTTTAAGAATGTGATTTTGCAGGCCGATTCTGGAGTAAAAATTAGTCATTTTAGTTTTGATAAAGGAATTAAATAGTCCCTATAGTTTTAAAAACAAATTAATTAGTCTCTATATTTCTAAATCTATCTGTAATTTAATCTTCTTTTTTTTTTTTTGAGAAAGAGAAAAGAAAAATAATAAGTAAAAAATATGAAAGTATTGATGAAAAAGATGATATATTTGGAAACATAGTGATAATTAAATTAAACATAGACAACATTAATGATCAAGAGACTAAATAATTAGTTTTTGAAACAAGAGAGATTAAATAGTTTATTTTTTGAAAATAAGGGGACTAATTTATAATTTACTTATCAGTTGTCATTTCTTTAACTAACATTCTTTTAGATGAAACCCATTTCTTCTTTTCTTTTTTTCTTTTTTTCTTTTTTCCAGTTGATTCTGTCTTTAGGTTTCCATTTTGGTATGTAAGAAAATTCTGCAAAATATTCTTGTTCAGACAGTACTTACCAGCCTCTGTAAAAAGAAGCATCATTCTTAGGCATAAACTTTCCTTGTTGTCGATTTGTTTCCTGCATTTCTTTGCCTTCCCATCCTTCTCTTATTCCTGAACCTGTCTCTTCTTGGCTTGTTCAGAAATTTCTTTGCACATTGGTCATTCCATTAATGTAAGCTTTCTACCAAGCTTAGAATCATAGGTTGGGGCAGAAATATCTCTAACCTCAAGAAATTGAGCTAACTTTTTCTACTTGTCAAGATTTTGACAGGGTATGCTTCATTCCGAAGCAATTCCAGATTTGATTCACTTGAACTTTCGATCGTCTAAAGCATTTCTCGTAAAACCAGTTTTATGGAGGTACTACTTCTCGATGATCCACAAATTAATTTCCGTTTATATGAGTTGGGAAATAAGGATGGGTAACCAAATGAGTACAGGGCAAACAAAGAACAACGGCAGAAGCTAGATCATGCAAGAAAGAATAGTTTCCTTGTTAAGAAAGCCTAAAAACCTAGAAATCCTGAATTCTTTCAGGCCTATATAAACACACAGGTTTAACCATGACTTCATCAAACACATATAGCAATTTACGAAAACCAAAGAGATCGATAAGCAACGCGAAAGAGGAATAGAAATGGATATGAGGACACGAAGATCTACTGCTATCCAGTATGAGAACTTTCAGCCCAAGTTTGAATGGGTGGAAGAAGAGGGGGCAAATGTTCTGCTCATTTATCTTCCTGGTGAGCTTTACCGTTTATTTTTAGGCTTATAACTCGTGCCGAAAGATTGTTTGCGATTAGCTTCTTAAATGCGTCAGGATGCGTGGAAGTTTCGAAGATATTTTATTCTGTTCTTTTCCTGATTTTGTAGATTATCTAAAGGAGCAGTTGAAAATCACTTATGTTCATTCCTCCCGAATGGTTCAAGTTACCGGAGAACGACCACTTACTTATAACCAATGGAGTCGATTCAATCAAAATTTTCGTGTTCCTCAAAATTGTGAGGTGAATAAAATTCAAGGCAAGTTCAAGAATGAAATTCTTTACATTACAATGCCTAAACCAACCATCAAACAACCTCACCCCAAAGAAGAAGCAAAGGCAACCAAAGAGGATCCATTGCCTTCAAAAGATGCCTCAGTAGAGAAGCCTATGACTTCCCAAGTCCCTCAAAAGCCCACGATGGAGCCAAAACAAACAGATGAGAAGAAACCGGGAGTTCTTAGCCCTCCAGAAGCCTCGAAAGATCAAAAGTCTCAAAAGGGTCAAGCTGAAACCCCACCAGAAGCTGCTTCAACTTCTGATACCGTGAAGCAGAAAGATGAAAAGCCGATAACTGGAAAGAAAGAAAGCACAGCTGAAGTAAGCAAGAAGCCAGCAGAATCATTCGAGGAGAAGACCTTGTTTGAACAAGAGGAAAGCATCAAGAAAAGAAAAGAATCAGACAATGCTTCTCTTAAAGCATTGGAGAAAGACAAAGGAAAGGGTGTTAAATTGGCTGGTTCTGGCTCTGAAGAGAAGCAGAAGCAGGATTTCAAAATTGCTGGGAAAGTCAAGGAAGTGAAGAATGTAGCTGCAACTGCTGCAAAGAAGACCGTGAAAGGACTTAACGCCATAGAGCTAAGTGAAGAAAGGCAAAAATCAATGGTGAATATAGGTGTTGCAGCCCTAGTGATTGTAGCCCTTGGAGCTTACCTGGCTTATAGCTACCAATCATCTAGAACATCCACAGACTAATTCTTACAATATCATGCATTAGCTTGTATATTTACAAAACTTAATTAAAACGATAAAATTATGAACTCAAATAATTATATATATTCTTAATTTTATGGATTAACTGCTCAATCTGTTTTTATATAATAAAGTAATTCTTCAATTTATTTTTATATTCCTAATCGAGTCAATTTTATTTATGAATATATGTTAAGTTTTTAATCTATTCTTCCGATAAGATTTTCGGACTAGATTATCGAAATTAATCACTAGATTTGTATATAATTATTTTTTATTTTTAAAATATCCTTACAAACTAGACAAATGGAAAAGTTTTCATATTCAAATCAAGTAATTAATATTAAATTAACTATGATCAATATTGATTGAGGGATTAATTATAAGTTTTTTAAAAAAATGGACTATTTAATTTATTTTAAAAAATAAAGGGACTAATTAAAATTTTTGAGGAAGTGATGGATTAGTTATCTAGACACTTGCACTAAAAGTGGTTTCTAATTTAGCATCTTACATCTCAAAAATACAATTAAACATAAACAAATTAGATATTTATTAAAGATTTACAAATTTCAATCTCGATTAATGTGTAACCTGGTTCGAAATAACTAAAAAAAAAAAAATTGTAAACCTGTTTTTTAATTAAAAGTTAAAAACTTTAGCACCAATTCCCTTTTTTACAGGAAAAAAAATGCTATGAAGTTCAGAATTTAGACAGGGTGGAGTTGGACCATCAGAGTTTAGAACAGAGGCTGGTGTGTAGGCCTAAACTTTTAAGGATCCTGCTAACTTTGAGTACAATAATATGGCATTAGAGAATTATTATTTTTTTATTTGAAAGAGTTATTTTAATTATATGTAATGTGAATAGAATTTAACAATATAGGCATGTATAAAATATGAACCTTTATTTTAATAAATATTTTTTTAATTAAAATTTTTTATCAAAAGCGATAATATAAATGTTATGGGTCATTTTGTCCAAATGAATAAAAAGTAATTTAATACAATAACAAAAAATTTCTGATAAAAAAAGAAGGATTCACTTTAATAATTTAATAAACTTCGATGCAGTTTTTATTATTTTTTTAATTTTAATGTTATTGGTGTTTTTAGGCTTTTTCTAAGCATTTTTAGAGTTTTTATAGGCAAATTAAAGTGCCATTAATGTGCTATATGGGTAAGGTGTGATTTGTGAATCTTAATTTAAGTTAATTATGTGGTTAAAAAAATTATTATTATTATTAGAAAAACGGGATCAACTTAATTTCTTCAATGCTGGGTTTTTTTTTCTTTAATTAGAGAAGATTTTGAATTTACATATTAGTATCCAAAATATGTTGCAATATTAGGATTATATTAATGAAACAATAGTCAATCATAAGTTTTTAAAGAGTTTGTGTTTTTATATTTACAAATCATATATATAGCACAAAAGCCTTATGTTTAAAAATATATATATATTATGAAAAACCTTGGAAAGACCTACAAGCCAAGAAGAGAATCCCTGTCCTTTACATGTCTATTGCTATTGGTGTAGGTAATAAAGGGACAAAAGCTAAAATCCCATGTTAAGGAAACCTATGCAACTAAGAAAGAATAGACTTCCCATCAAGAAAACCCAAAACCAAACCAGCTAGCAATCCTAAATATTCTAACACATATATACATCAACTTTGCCAACATATTCATTGAGAAGGAACAATCTTATTCTCCACGAAATTAAAAAATAATAATAATAATAATTGCAAATTGAGGAGTATCCAAATTCAAAAGCCCTATGAGTAGCTGAACTAATTGATAAATTTTTATGGACCAACGTCAACCTGCTCAATCGCGATTACTTTTCGCACCGAAAACAAACTGGATAGAGGAAGATGAAGCTCTTACCTTGCATGTTCATCTACCTGGTAGGTTTTTTTTTTTTTTTTTTTTTTTTCTATGTTATACAATTTGATTTCGGTCTGTTAACATTTCTCATCTAAATTGTGGAATTTAATTTTTTTTGTTTAATATTTTGTAACTTTATTTACAGATTTCTCTGAGAAGGATATAGAATGTAGGATAATTGCACCATCACATTATATCAGAGTCTGTAGTAATCCTGCCCTGAAAACCTGGCATTTCAATACCCTTTTTGAGGACATTCCTGAGAAATATAACCTCCATGAAGCAAAAACCAAGTTTGATGATGGAAGTTTCACCATCACAGTTCCGAAAGTAGCTCCAGCACAAACTAGTACTGGTCCTAAGGCATCAGAGGCCACAGAAAGATCACAAGAGGCTCCTAGCCTTCAAGAAAGTCCAGGGCCTGAAAAGAGTGGAGATGGTCCTGCAAAACAGGAAACTTGGACAACCAAAGTAGATGAAGAAATTACAGAAGCCAAAGATGTTGAAGGTCCAAAAACCTCGATTGAAAGCGAACAAATGTCTCAGAAGGGTCAAGATCAAGTTCCTTCGAAAGCTAACTTTCAATTGGTATTTACCAGAAAGCAGCAAATGGATGATCAAAGCAGTGTAGGGCAAGTTGGTGATCAGAAGGCCATGGAAGAGGATAAGGAGAAGAGTGCTGAAAGTGTTGGCCAAGAAAAGGAAAAGGAAAAGGAAAAGGAGGGGTCTTCTTCTAGCATGTCTGAGAAGGATATTGTAACAAATGTGGTGACAGAAACGAGATATATAGTAGATAAATGCACCATACTCTCATTGATTCTGGCAGTTGGAGCTTATGCATTCTATACCTTTTATGGCCAATCTAGAAGAAAAAATCAGTAAAAAGAATTTGAATTTGTATGCACATCAGCAACGGATGAAGCTGATACAAAGATGATTAGCTGTTTGGTTTGATTCGTCTAACTTTTATCTGTACGCAATATATATTTCTTGTACTCTTTAATTTAACTAATGTATTTACATTTTAATTAAGTCAATTTCATTCTAATATGCATTGAAGTTTCAACTTTATCATTTTATCGAGATTTTCAGATCAAATCATCGAAATTATTCATGTGGTTTACATATGAATGATACTTATTTTCAAAATACTTTTGCAAATCAGTTAAATAAAAAAAATTTATATGTAAATTGTGTGATTAATTCATAATTTAGCTCGAAAATCTTACCAAAAAAATAAAATAAACACTTAATAAGTATTGGTTCAATTAAATAGAAAGACAAATCGAAGAATTATCATATTATATAAGGATAAATTCAGCCATTAACCCTTAACTAAATTTAATACTTCATTCTTCCAATTCTTAACGGCTGAGACAAACTATGGCTACGATTTTCTTATATAAAAAAGGAGTAACTACAAATAAGCCTTCAATCTATGAGGGGTTTCACAAATCAGTCTTCAACCTACGGAATTTTGCTAGACATAGCTTGAAATATGAAGGCTTTAACAAGTTTCTCCCCCACTATTTGATTCTGCCAACTGCAACGTTAAATTCCATGTGAAAAGCACATAAATCCAATAAATCCAGATTTTTTTGGAGCTTTAATTTTTTATTTTAATGAAAAATTCTGTTTTAAAAGTAAGAAATTGTGATAATAATAATAAAAAGAAAAAAAATTTATCATCGTAAAGCCAAACAAAAAGTGAGGAAGACCCGACACTTGAAAGCAAACAAAACCAAATGTTCAGAAGCTTCCATTTTTTAGATTTCTTTCAAAAAAAAATTGAATTTTTTCTATAATATATATATTTTCAAAAGCAGATAATTAATATTGTTTCTCAAATTGACCCCTTCATAAAAAAATGAAATATTTTTAGGGTAAGAAATAATAGAATAATAGACTAATTTCATGTATGGAATGTTATAGGACTAAGAAAGGATACATATTATTCAATATTTCCAAATAATACGGAAATTAACTGAAAAAGAAATCTAATCTTCTTAATTACAAAATCTAAACACATTCATTTATAACAAAGAAAAAAGGAAACTTTATTTAATCTTGTGATCTATCAAATTAAAGCTATATATAACCCTCTACTTGTTCATTTGATTATCATTTATGAGGGTTTCATTTGATCAATTCAACAAAATTAAAAAAATAAAATCTAAAGCAATATAACAACAAATCAAAATTAGAAAAAAAAAATGAATTCGATTTGTTTCAAAGAAATAATATATGAAAGAATTAAGAATCATATGAAGAAGTAATGGTTTTAGGTGCTCATTGGATTTTGGTATGAGTTCTTCCATTTTGAAATAATTAAAGATGTAGCCAAATTTTAGATTTGATCCATAATTTAAGTTTGATCTGGGTATAATATGAGTGCATCCATGAGTATTTATAGTAGTATTTTGAAATTTATCGATAGTTAAAATCTTAAAAAATATTTAAGATATAGAAGTGTTAATTATATTGAAAAACATAAAATTTCTAAGAAATTAAGGAGATAGCAATATGAAAAAATAGATTGTTTATTCAGTACCATTAAAGTACACTATTCATTGCTTAAGAAAAAAAATATCACACAAATGAGTACATATTGTTGAATTTACTGTTGACTTGGAAGTGAAGAGGTGTAGGGTGGTTTAGCTGCAATATCAACAAAATGATTCCAAACATTCAGGCTCTTTGCAGATAGTTTGGATGGATTTTCTTGAAGCTCTTTTGATATGAGCAATTTTGTCATCACATTATGATAATCTTTTCTTGTTGTTACGAGTTTGTGACAACAGTTATCGATATAATATAACTGTCAATCAAACTCTAAAAAATTTCTACTCCACACTTATTAGTTAGCTCGTAGAACAATCTTCTAAATATTTGCTAAACTTGGGTGCAGATTCTTCAGCAGTTTCAATAATCTGTCCTGCAAGTCCTGGTGTACTCATAAACATACCAACCAAAGCAACTAAAACCATGAAAATATTTTTTTTAAAGTAGCCATCTTTCTAAAAACTCAAATATTGGTCAGCTGGAAGAGTTAAAGGATTGATTAATTGATTTATCAAGTCTTATTAATTTATATGTAAAACTTTTCAAATACTTGGTCAACAGTTAACTTAACCATTAATACATTTTTAATAAGTATTTAATGAAATTAATTTTTTTAAAAAAAGTTTCTTTCCATAAACGGTATTTTTTTTTTAGTATCAACATTTTTTTTGTCATTGATGAACATAAGTTTGAATAGGTAGGAGGAAAAAACTTCCACACAAAATTTATTTTTGTATTTTTAATAAACTTATGTTTTTAATTATTAAATTGAAATAAGACTTTCAAACATGAGAATATAATGATATTACATATTTTAAATTGGGTGGTGATCTAATATTATAATTAGTATTTTTAACAACTCTTAATCCCACCTATATATATCAAGTCACATTGCGAGCTACATTACCTTCAATGTTCATTTAGTTAAAAGATTATTGTCTGATACTAACAATGTATTTGGTGTTGATGTAAAAAATGAAAATTCATTTTAATTTGATAAATATTTGGTGAAAAGAGAAATTTCATGAAAATTAATATTTAATCCAAAAAAAGATTCAATGTTAACTTTGAGAAATAAGAGGTAAGGAAACATGATGAGGAACACTGTTCTATGCCCTTTTTTCCTCTCATTTTAATTTTAGATCACAACTATATGTTATTTAATTTTTTGCGATCATATTTAATTGAAAATTATATTTTAATTTTACTAGAATCTAATATTATCTATAATTATTTCAAATCCTGTCAAACATCTTTGAATTTTACTTCTTTAATATTTTTTCTCTAAATCTTTCAATATTCAAATACCAAACACCATGTAAGGGTGATTTTATCCACCACTACATTCTGTACAGCGGCCGGAACTAGAAAGAAAAGATTGGAGCCAATGTCAATATGAGACTCGGAAGGGTTGGTTTTAACTGCTCGTTGGGTTTTGCTGTGAGTTCATCCATGAGTATTTATCATAGTATTTTGAAATATATCAACAATTTAAAATTTTAATTTAAGCTCTAGAAGTGTTAATTATTATTTTTTCTTTGGAAAAATATAAAATTTATAAGAAATTAAAATAATGTCTTAAGCATTTAAGAAATTTTTTATTTTTTTGTTCATTTTCAAACTATTAGTGGCTGAGGTTTTCCATTTTTTTTTCAAAAGTTTAGAATTTTTTATTGGTTCAACGATTTTAAAAGTTTAAGTATTAAAAACAATTTTTTTTTAATTTCTTTGAGTTTCTTAAAGATTTTTGGTTTCTTGAAAATTTTATTTTCTTGATGCTAAATAAACACCGAAAATTAAAAAAATTATTAGATATTCTTGATTCATTTATCCTATTTTAGTGGGAATGGAGAGAATAATAACCGAAGTACTTAATAATCCTTCAAACTAAGATAAGATAATCAACAAAGATCCAATTTCAAACATAAAAAAATAAATACAGGAATAATCGCATCACTTGTACTAGAATTAGGAATGGCAATTTGCCCCGCCCTATTTGGGGCGGGGATGGTAGTCAAAATTCCCCTCGAACGGGACACGGGATGGAGATAGGGTGAATTTTTTGGGACAAGGCGGGGATGGAAATAACTATCCTCGCCCTCGCCCTATCATTTTGCCTTTAAAAATGACAATTTGACCGAGCCTCGCCCCATCCTACCCCATTTGGGATGGGGTGTGGTAGTCAAAATTTTGCCCCAAACAGGGCACGGGGCGGGGATGGGGTAACTTTTTTGGGGCGGGGCGGGGCGAGGCGGGGATGGGGATGGCCCCCATCCTCATCCCCGCCTCGCCTCGTCCCATTGCCATCCCTAACTAGAATCCGCTCCAAGCCTAAAAGGAGGACCCTCTACTAATTTGTAGTGTGATTTTTATCCTCATCGCTAGCCGCTCAAAAAATTAATCATTTTCACATATTTTTAAGGATTTTTGCATATTATTATGAGTATAGAAATTTGATGAAGCATCGTTGTGTCAAATTTGGGGTTAGGGAAGATTTGCTATGATAGAAGATTGTAATCAATACTCCACATTGAAATTGAAATGATGGAATTCAATTTTATTTTTTGTGTTATTCGAGATACATATCAGTATTGATATGTTGTTGATTGTGTGAATGTTTTTGCCATATTTTAGATCATTAAATTTGATCAAATGTATGACTAAGAAAGGATACATATCTTACCCAAAAACTTTGCCCATTGTTGGTTTCTTTATTTTAGTTATTTTTAGTTTCTTTTCCTTGTTTAGTTCATGTTTGCTTAATCAAAATAAAATCAAAAAAGTATTTTCTTTGATTTCAATACAAAATTAACAACAAAATAAAAATACAAAAAATGTAAAAATAAAAAAAGAGAATTTTGCAGCATCTCCTAACTATCCTAGACTAATTCCCCAATCTAGTTTACTACCCAAGTCAGCGACCCTTTGCTCGTAATTCCTATAAAATCAAGCACAATTTCCTTTTCCAAGTCAACAATTCCAAGCACCCCCCACCTTATCGCCCACTTCCACTTCTAGCCTTCGAGTAGCCCACAATCTCCAACCCCCCAAGTCAATCTCTTGTCATCCACCCTACTCAGCCCACAACCACTGCAACTTGCAGCCACTCTTCTATTGTCGTAACCCACAACTTCTCCTCATACCTTATTACAACCCTTCTTGCTAGCCACTTTGCACAGCCCCACAATTCACCTTCCCCAAGCCAATCTCCAACGAGCCTCACCACCGCACAGACTTACAAACTCAATATCATCCAACCACCACTTGATGTCCCGCAAAAAAATCCCACACTATCATGGTGGAGAACCAAGTCAGCATTT